TACGTGCGTTGAATGCAAGTACAAAAATTTACAGGAAGTAAAGGAAAACTTGTGTTGACATTGAATCCTATTAAATAATATTCTGTGATAGAGCTCCACCCCCCTCCCCCCCCCCCCCCTATCAAAAAATGGGTCAATATTAGACTGGGAATCTATTGTTGAGGTGACATTACACTTTTTGCAAATTAATTATAAAGTTCTGCTTTGATGCTATTTCGGGGGGTTCTATTTTGTTGACATAAAGTGACTGATAGACATAGTCGACTCTATGAATACTGAATAGTATGACAGTTTCTGTGCAAGAATTGTGTTGATTTGATAATGATTGTATAACATATTTATGTCATATCGTAACATGCATGTATGTACATGTATATTATACAATATGATGGGGGTTGTATGTCCGGATGCCTAAACAAAATAAAGCCACTGCTTTTGCCTTTTGATTTAACTAAATTATGCGTCAAAAAGCACTATAGCCTCCTTAAATAAGTCTTAAAAAATTTATGAAATAATGTGTGTAAACTTCTGCAAATTACCGTTTTAAATCAACTGTCTGGACAAACAATGTCTGGGTATATATATGGCAACAATTGCCACAGGGTCATTATCTAGAATTTAACACTAACCAAATTCATATCAAATTCATCACTGTACAGTTTTAAACCAATCGCAATGAGCTATCTTGGATGAAATACAGCCTCGAGGCAGCTATAGGCAAATGAAAGCAGAGCATACAGAAATAATTGTCTATAGTATGGAAATCCTTTAAAAAAACATTTGTCAACCTTCCCCACACACAAATAGTTATGCTTGCCACACGCACAAGGGGCGGGGGGGGGGGGGGGGGGGATAACCACCAATTCTATCAGGAATCCGGCGAAATTTTTCCCCTCGTCCCTCAGTTTTTCTTTTTCTAGACTTAACAGTAAATTGATTCAGAAGGGAAAAAAGATAATTGGAAGGAAAAGTAGATCTAATTTACATTAAAAAATAACATTGAAAGTCATTGTAAAAAAAACATTAAAAAATATGGGGACTTACATTCAGATAATCTGTCAGTTTTCTGGAAGCTACTCCGTGCGATGAGATTGGCAATCACACACAAACTACATTGCGTAACCTTCCCTCACTAATCCCTTCGATGTACATGTACTTCGGTCTTTATATAGAGGCGGTTCATCAGCAGAAAAATTAACTGCCAATATCAGTGACTGAAGCTTTTAGTCTAGTCAGACCACTGTTGATTTTTAGGTGATACGTACGTAGACGTATCACCTTTTGATTTCGTCAAGATTTTTATTATTTATTTATTTATTTATTTATTTATTATTATTCTTCCTCGAATTTGTTCGCAGGATATCTCAAGACTGAATAAAGCCATTATCATGAAACTTGCTATGATGATAGATCTTAGTCTAACTTAGAACTGCATGACTTTTTAGAGAGTCAAAATTATCGTGACGTCATCCAGGCGCCATTTTGTGAAAATCAACTAATGATCATATCTTCATGACGGAAAAGTATTTCTCATTCATAATTATCACGATTAAGATAAATATCCGTCCGGTCAAGTTGAGGTCAATAAAAGTGCGCAAATGCGCGCGTGCGCGTTCGTCCGCGCGTTTACGCGCGCGCAAAAATTTAAAATGCTCTAAATCATCCCAAATTTTTTTTGCATACGTTTCAGGCCATATGGAGCATTTGATAAAAAAATTACGCACACGCGCATGCGCGCGCGTTTTCGCGCGTACTGGCATTTTGCAACATAGAATCGCCGATTTTTTTCTGTCATCATATTCGGTACATTTTTCCAAGCATTTTGATAATTTGTTCACCTTTTATTTACGCAACGAGCGTCCGTCAAAGTTGACAGCACGCGCGGATTTACGTTATCTTTATCCACAATACATGGGCAAAAACATGCCTACATAAAATTCATTGTAACTCTTTAGAATAGATAGAAACTCCTAATATTTTTTCATATTTGGATAGATTATGAGTCGGAGATATGATTTCATGTCTCATTTTATCCTCAATTAACTCATGACGTCATCATAATGGCCTCCAAACTCAAAAATTCAATTTGCATATTATGACGTCAGCATATTTTTGGAAAATTGATTGTATCTCTGTAAATGTGGATCAATTTTCTTTTTAATTTTGATATGTTCTAGCTGAGACAATTTTCTACAAATGTAATATTCACAATTTTTATTTTTGACAAAAGTATCAGGGTGTATTTTTGCGATTTAAGGAGGCATGTCAATTTTTCGCATTTTGCGTGTATTCTCTATGGGACATGACTTTTTCTCAAAACTGGATCCTACACTCCTGTCTTTCGCGAGCAAAATCTCCGTTGTTTTAGCTTTGTTTTCGCTGAGCTTTGGATATGTTGTAGCTGAGACAATGAGCTATCAAAAGTGTGCCTTTTATTTTTCGATTAGATGCCAGGATCAAGCTCATATTTCACTTGCAAAGTAGGATTTCTGAATTCCATTTCCCGTTTACGTGTAATCGCTATGGGAGATGTTTTGGTATATCGGTAACGCACTTGACTTCCAACCTCGAGATCCCTGGTTCGAGTCCGGGTGTCTCCAACACTTTTTTTTCCTCACTTTTTTTTCCTTTTGACCTTCACTGTACCATCTCCTTTGATTATTTAAACACGTAGATTCGCAAATAATGTCATAAATAACCCTTTTTACTTTATTATTACCCTATTTTCACTTAATCCATTACTTTTTGCGTGTAATCCCTATGGGAGATGACTTTTTCTAAAATCTGGAGTCTACATTCCTGTCTTTTGCGAGCAATATCGCCGTTATTTCGGCTTGGATTTTGTTGATTTTTTAGTATGTTGTAGCTGAGACTATATGCTATCTAAATCAACCCTCATTTTTTCAATAAGCTGTCATGATCGCGCTCATGATCATGATCATGATCATCATGATCATCATTATCATAATGATGATAATCATTTATCAATTACATTTTCATTTCTTTGAATAAGATAAAAATCGTCAAAAGGTGTTCTTCATGATGTAAATTAGAGTCAAATGTGTAACTGGTTACTGCACAGGGTCGAAGGTCATATATTGTTTCAATCTATCTTCCCTAGATCCATGATGATCAAGGAGACACAATTTAATCTTGACATATGAATAGATCATAATGGGAGAAGCATATGAATGGGAGAAGCAGTTTACAAAATAATATATCGTGTAATGCATTATTCGTTATGTAGACCATTATCATACGTATCACCTAATTCGTCTAAGTGACGAATTAAAGTCTAGTCTATTTTTGTTAATGTATGGGTAGTAGCTTAATTTTGGATACATGTATATATGTAACTATTTTCGTAAGAATCATGTTGAATTAGTGTTGGTTGATTACCGGTACACTTATTTCAAAACCTCTGCCATGAAGGTGGGGTCTGAGCTAGCTGAGGTACTATGTTACTGTGTTGTCTATCTGTCCTGCTTCCTCATAATCTTGTTATCTCAGGACTCGTTTGAGCAATGAACTTCATGTAGGTCAAAAGTTAAAAGTAATAAAGGTCACACTCACTTTTCTTTGAAATTCAGTGTTTTTCCCCCGCATTATTGCAATATCTTGAGAGCCATTAGAGCAATGAACACCAAACTTGATACTAGTATGTACATGTAGGTCAAAGGTCGTAAGAGGTCAATTGCCATGAAACTCTGTATTTTGTTCTGCCCATGCAGTTATTGCGAAGACTAGGCTAGACTCGGAAGGTAATGTTTGTACATGTCCATGTCTAAGTAAGCACTATTACATGTACATGTAGGTATAGACTGGTCATCAGATTAATGATAGTGAAAATGAATCTATAAAAGTACAGTTCTAGTAGTAGGTAGAAAGTGATAATGAGCAATTGCAATTTGGCCCGTAAAAATAGTGTAGTGGAAGTAGGCACTGTACAGAGTCACAAAAAGAGGAAAATCTATTGTTATTGTTATCATTATAGTAAGGATATATTGACTGCTTTGAGAGGCATAGTGGTTTCTATAGGGTCAAGGGAAACTCACAACCTGCTATGACCCCAAGGCGCTTGCGCCGCGGGGTCATAGCAGGTTGTGAGTTTCCCAAGACCCTATAGAAACAACTATGCCTCGAATATTAAAAGCAGTCAATATATATTTTATATACCGAAAAAAAGGAAAATGTTGACTCACCCATTTAGGTTTCCATCTCTTTGAAGTCATGAATATTAACACCAACAATAACTTGTGTACAGTATGAAATCCAACAAGCTGTGCTCCAGTAGAACAGGGAATACCAAACACGTTTACACGAACAGTAACTTTTGTACAGGATGATATCACCAACAAGCTGTGCTCCAGTAGAACAGTACTAGAACATGAACAGTAACTTTATAAATTCACAAATTCGCAACATATTTACACAGACTGTGCGTCTAGTCTACTTGTTGCGATCGAGACTAGATCTAGTACACAAAATGGCGATCGGTCGTGTGCGCTGCGTGGATTGGTAGATTCGTCGCCTGAATGCAGCGACCAAAATCGAATTGCACTCAAACACCGTTAACGGTATTGCGCATCGGTCATCGCACAAAAGAAACTTATACGGTAACACGTAAACCAAAATGGGGATCGCAGCAAAATGACGTCACGTTTCACAGCCATGGAAAAAGTGCTATGAAAAATGGATATAAACCGGTAGAGCCGGGAAAAATGACTATGAATTTCAATTGGCGGGCATGGTTAAGAACATGACTGCATTTTCAACCAATCAGAAGACAGGATTAGTAAAGAATCTTAAAATGAGGTATATAATTTTTAATATTGTTATTGTTCTCATTATTTTTATTATTATTATTATTATTGTCGTTGTTATTGTATTATGATAATGATGATGATAATAGTAACGACTGAGAGCTTAGAATTTCTAATTGCTATATTAAACTGTTCTTTCTTCTTTTTTCTTCACGGGTACAGATTTCCAACTAAGACATGGATGCCATGCTGAGCACGCCTGTGCAAGTGGAAGACACAGATTCAGATGATTTTGAAGAGGATCTTCTCGTTTATGAGCTGGTGAGTAGAAATTAGAAAACATTGAAGTGACACATCCTATGCTGTAGCAACTACATGTACATGTACATGTACAGTATACATGCATATGAATATGAATAGGCATTCTCTTCATAGAGTTAAGTTGAAATGAGATAAAAAGTGATATAGAATTGAGTGATTTTGTCGTGGTCACCTCTTGCACCGTACGTTTAGTGAATGCAAAAGTTTCTGCTTTTACAGTATTTATACAATTTGTTTAATCTCTAACTCTAACTGAGATCCTTGAACGAATAAGGATGCTTGAACAAATTATAGATGATCACTTAATTGCGGGCTGTGGGTAATGTTCAGATGAATGTCAAGCTTGAAGATGAACATGATACGCCTTCCGGTAATGATGTCATTAATCCAAGCTTGCTGGAGGTCAGTCATTGTTTTAAAGATTCATCTCTAGCTATTCTCAAATAACACATTTTTTTATATTGTTAGAGAATAAATTATGGGTTAAAGTATAATATTGATAATAATATTGATCATTTAGGAGTGCTAAAAACAAAATGTACCAAAGTGCTATGTGTAATGTAACAAAACTACAGAAAGTGAAAGAGAAACATGAAATAGATAAAAAATTATGTCACTGTGAGACATTTTTGGGGAGATGAGAGCCTGAATTTGGAAATAATTGGTTAATATTTGTTAGATGCGGAGCGAATTTTACGAGCTGGTGTATATATTTGGAGGGTGTCATTTAGATTCAGGTACCCTATAATTAAGAATTTTGAAGATATACATGTACAGGCAGACTTTAAACAGAATGCGTTGTTGTAGAGGTAATTACCACTGGAGTTCCTAGCTTAATAATCAAGGGAAAAGTACCATAGCTGCCAACCATTCCTTTTTGGAGGAAAGAATCCTATGTTTGGGCCTTCAAGCTACTGTTTTTAACCCCAGCTTCCTCTCATTTTTTGATATATTCTGTGTGAAAAGTATACAAAATAGATTATATACCTCACTTAAGTAATCCAGCAATCTGATTGGTCGAAATTGCATTCATAAACTTTAACTGTTCCCGAAAATTCCCAGTAACCATGGTTAAAACAGTTCTAAAATCCCAATAACCATGGTTACCGGGAAAATAGTTCAGTCTCCATGGTTACCCCATAGGTTTACATGTTAAAAAATGGTCTGAGCGATCGAGGATACCGTACGTGTGCGAAGAATTGGTCGGTAATTTCAATACAATTGAATCTCGATCGATCTTACCGACAATTTTATCTTGCATTGTTGACATGAAGACGAAAATAAACTTCCAAAAACAAAAAAACAACATCTGCCGATAGATCTTGATCTAAGTTCGTGCCAATATGCATTGCAAAAGTAAAAGAAGGGCCTGTTTAATGGAGCAGCGGCGAAGCATCTACCACGCGAAGCCATTTTTAATCAATTTTAATGTATTAGAGAAAACTGCTATATATGGTGACAGAGCGCACTGGCCGAGCGGTTTAAGGCGCTGATTTTAGTTTCATCACCTTTTGTATGCAAGAGATCAAATCCCATCTTCGACAAAAGTTTTTTTATTTTTTATTTTTTAGTCTATTTTTTTTTGGCATATAAAAGTATTAATGACTGCTTTAATATTCGAGAAATAGTTGTTTTTATACGCTCTCGGGAAGGTTACAATTGGGCTATTGCCCTCGGCACGCCTCGGGTAATAGCACAATTCTAACCTTCCCTTGAGCGTATAAAAACAACTATTTCTCTCAAAGCAGTCATTAATACTATACTAAATTCCTAATTTTTTGCTGTGAAAGGTTGGCATGTATGAAGTACACGTACGAGTCTGAGATCCAAGGCCAAAGATAAATCTAACGGCTCGATTCTGGACAGTTTCAAGTTTCATGTATCTTTTGTAGACAAAACCGTATACAAACTATTACAATAATCTTTACTTACATACATAGAATCCTAGATAGACATATTTTTTTGGTTTAATAATCTACAGACTTAACAGGTAACGGGGAATTAACCTCAAACTACATGTTAATTTGAGTTTATTTCATTTCCATTTAAAACATTATATCTGAAAAATATAAATATTGAACATTTGACGGAAGGGAGGACGTAACTCTTCTTCCGAATCCTTCGTCTTTTGCGGCTCTGAGAATTTTCAGAACATTGCCATTGTGTTTGTGCTTGTGTTTGCACATGGAGATGACCCCTATTGGGTACGTATGTTTCCCTGCTGTAAACTACATACACATTACACTCATGCTGCAGTGAGCTCAAGCACGCGCAATTTGTAACGATATTGCACACAAATGGGACATTCAATTACGATATAAATGACATGCCTTTTTTGCCTCAAGCTTGACTCTCCTCTTTTCTGTCGTATTTGTACTTCTGGTCAAGAAATTTCTCCACCTTCAGAGCTGCTACCCATAGCTTGAATATTTCATTGCGATTGTGTGGGTCTGGGAACCGATGAAACAATTTCCCCTTGGTTTTCGAGGAACAATTATTACAACAAAATACTGGGCAGCACCATGTTTGACGTGTATTGCATATAAAGCGTGCGCGCTACATCAGTTCTCCGTGCGATACGTCACAACCCGTAAGTTTTGAAGGGAAATCTTAACAAAGTGGCAGCTTCACGACGTTGTAATTATGGCAAAGCAGGGTCTTTTTATTGTACTTGCAAGACGATATTATTTGGCCTACAGCTATGTTTTTTATATTAAATGAACTGTTGTTTTACTCTCTATATCATGATAATGCTTCATAGTTGAGAGATTAATTCTTCTTTAATTGGGCATGTAAGTAAGTAAGTAACTATACATTTTCAAATTCAGTGAATTCATATTTTTGGTCTCGCCCTAAATGAGTAGTGGGCATCTTCGATCAGTGAAAGTCACCATTATTTATTTTGCTTATTAAACCAGTATGCTTATACATTACATGTACCGTACATGTAGACTTATGTAAATATTCTTGTTAAAAATTTGATGTTTCAGAGGAATGGCCTTCAGCGTGAAGAACGACATTTTATAGCTCAGGCAAGGAGATATTACAGCCTCACTCAGGTATGATCTGGTTGGCTATGAAAACCTATAGTCTTACTAAAAGTTAATTTTGATGAAAATTGGAGGTTAATTGTCTGGAGATATCAAGAACCATGTTGGCTTTAGCTTTGAATGTGGTATCTCCCTGTACCAGGACAAGAAATGAATAGACATGGGAATCTGCAGGCCAAAGGTCAAATTTCTTGGATCATTTAAAGGGATAGTTGATTTTTGTTGCAGAGGGCGTTACACAAATCATTTTTTTGTGAGATAACGAAAAACTGAGTGTCAAATTTGGAAGAACATACAATTTAAATAACAGAATCATCTTTGTTTGATCAAAATCGGTTCAGAGACAGCTGAAATATCCATAAATATAACGATTTCTAGTTTGTGGTGCCCCACAAATATTCAATAATTTGAACCCGCCATTGAAAAAACAAGATAGCATCTTATACGTTTTATTCCAGCCAATTTTGGTATGAACTTGCACTGGAATGCAGTACTTCGAAAAGAAATTAAATGTTTTTAAAGATCACATTTGTCAGCTTTTGTCAAAAAATCCTCAATCGTCTCATTATTGTGACATCTGAAAAATTATTCCTGGTGTTCTCTCCAAAATAAATATGCATCATAAGGAAACAAACAGAGTAGCTTTTGGGGGTATATAATAAAGGGAATATACATTTGAAAGCAAATGAGCATAGCAAGCACTCTTAGAAAGCCAACAGGGTAGATCAGTGAAGAACCTGTAGCCTTATACAAAATGCAAAGTGTTAACAGTGTTTTGACATATTTATCAATTTGATTTTTTTTCATGCTAACAGATTGAGCAAGATAAATTCGAGGCTTTGGGGGAGGATATATCTGGAATTGGATTTAGAGTGTTTTTGGAAGAACTCATCTACTTCTTTAGTTTACCACGCTGTCGGGCTCGACGTCGTTTCGAGGAAGGTGAGGAGGCTATTTGTCTTGTTTTTCATTTTACAGTTGACAATCATAATCAGCAACCACATGAAAGCCTTTCATATCAGCTCTGACAAATCCAAGAAGCAGAACAAATAGTAAGAATGTTGATGTACTTCTTCGGTGTGATTGGTGGAGGGGGGTTGAGACGTACATGTAGATCCTAGATTGTCTTTCTTGTCCACATGTCAGCTAGACCCTCTTTTTTATGTGTAAATATCAAGAACCATACTCAAGAAATGTATAAACCTCTTCAAAAAGAAGCAAACTGAAATCTGTCCCCCAAAAAATAATAACCAATTGTCCAATAAAGAAAAGAGAAGAGAAGGAAGGACAGGAAAGCAAAGGGGAAATTAAAAGTAAAAAGGGAAAGGGGAAAGGAAGAAAAATAAGCAACCTGCAACCCCCCTCCCTCCAACAAAAGACCCAAGTTTTTTGTTGTGGGGGGGGGGGACAGGGCTTCTTGTAATGAAAATCTAGATTTACACAATTTCTCTACATGCACGCACTGTACATTCATTAGTACGCTCTTTACTGGATTCTTTTCTCTTCCACAATGTGCACACTATTTTTATTGTAGCACAGGCTCTAACCTTCTTCCAGGTGGAATATTTATTTCACTGCTGTCAAGGAAATCATGCTCTAAGCCAAAACATAAATTCAGATCTTTAGTGGTGACCGAATTGCACTATATGATGAATCATTATGCCTAGATGCCAGGATAGCTGTCCACAAACCAAAATTCAAATATTTAAATTTGCAACTAATGATTGGCATAAAGTGCTGTAAAAGTCCCTTGCAGCCATGTTCTAGGGCCTACATGACTTGTGGGCTCCAGGATTCTATGCTCTCTGATGCAATTTGAACTTATTTTCTAAGCTGTCATTTAAAAAATCAAACCAAACCTCAATTCTCATTCTGTTTTAGAGACTAAACTTCTTGTGAAAGAAGCGTGCACGATCATGGCGTATCCCGTCATATCATACATGAACATGATGAACAATTCTCAGAATAGCGACCTGCAGGTACATGTAAGTTATAACAACGTTATCATATCATTAGGAACAACAAGAAGATTTTAATGTGATGTGTATGGCAATTCTTGAGCTCCCGTAATATAATTTCAGAAATATTGTACCAGTAATTTGTGCTTTAATGTCTAATATCTTAAATGAGTCTCCTGTACATACCTTATTTAATGAGAGCAAAAATTATTTTTCTGATGGTCAAAGAAAGATGAATTGTTTGTATTCTTAAAGTAAAATCAAAGGCTCATTATCTTAGTTAAAAATGGACATAAGGTGCAATGAGAAACATATTTTTATGCCTCCGAAACGAAGTAGCCGGAGTCATTGTTTTCAGCTTGTGTTTTCAGCTTGTCCCATTCTTGTGATCGCGTTATCTCAAGAACTGATTGATGGATTCCCGCTTACTTAACTTAATCATGTATGTATCTTGCAGAGCCAATGAACTGATTAGATTTTGAGGTCATGAGGTCATGAGGTCAAAGGTCATGGGGCTCATTATGTATGAAAAAATAGCTTGTGATCGCATTATCATTGGAGCCGACGGATACTATCAAATTACTCAGGAGATGTATGTATGCAGAGCCAATAAACTGATTTGAATTCTAGGGTTATGAATTGGTCAAAGATTAAAGGGTCATCTGTAAAATAGCTTGTAATCAAGATATTCTGAGAACCTGTTAATGGGTTACAATCACACTCAAATTTTAAAAATAGCTACTGTTTTGGTTTGAAAAATCACTCTTTGGTGGAGGCAACATTTTCGACTGCGCAGCTAGTCGAAGATCCATCTAGTCTTTATCATAATCATATCTAATCTTCTGTTCTGCTAGTGAATGCACTTGGAGAGAAATTAGCTTAAAGCAGTTCTAAATCCATATTGTACAGTATGTTATAGATGGACCTTCCACATGTATTACAAACTAGTGGAATTTGCTTGATTATAATGCCGATTTTTATGATTGCATGCCATATTTAGAATATTAAGGCATTTGAAGAGCCATGCTTTTCAGGGAACGTTCTTCCACATGCACTTGCATAATACAATGATATCACTCACAGTTTATTTTTCACCTCTTCCCAGAACTCAACCTTAATTCCCTTTAGATCAAATTTAACAATGACCGGTAACAAATTTGTCCTTAAATCCTTGAAAATATCTTTATGCAAAAATATTGGCTGAAATACAGAAATAACTACATGTACATTTATATTGCACAAGTATCAATTATAGGGGATGCTCAAGGGGCCTACAAAGTAGTTCATGTATAATATTACCCTTGCTTTCATTCATCTTTTAAAAAATCATTTTTCTTAAAAATGATTCATCTTTCAGCAAAATATAATTTGCAAAAGGAAAATTCAACAAATTATCATTTGCAAAAGGAAACATGATTTCTGTAAAGACAAACAGTTTACAAGAAGACGGATGGTTGTTTAGAAGACGAATAGCTTGGAAATAGCTAGATGAATGATTTGTGAAAAGACATAAGAAAACAGATGAAAGCCTTAAAAAGAGACATGACTTGAAAACAAGACAAATTATATTTGCATGATTTTAAGATGGACGAATGACCACGTTTTGTTTCCCTTTTGGCTTGCCATACTGCTGCAAATGGGAATGAGACTTTCTTTCCGTTATTAGCAGAAGTCAAGATTACATTTGCTGCTGGTTTATTTTGTCATCTTATCGAGAAGTACTCTTTTCCTTTGTCTTTTCTATTCCATTGTTCTACATTGTTCTACAGAAAGCAGTGCTTGAATTGCTTATTGCAGGATACCTTGATCGTATGACAGTACCGAAATTTCGACGCAAGCTTCGGCAAATCCATTCTGGTAAGACTTATATCATATACATGTGATAGATTACAGGGTCTTTAGGAAAGAAAGGGGTCTAAATATGCTTTTTGTAAGGACCTGTTGTTAACTTACTGAGCTATATCTACATGTATATGCAGTGATATTGACCAAGTTTGCTGATCCATGAATTTGAGATGGTAGGATTATGAGAGAGAGGTTTGAATCATATGTAGTCGTTTCAGACTATTTGAGAGCCTGGAGATGCCAGTGATAAAATTTCAGGACTGGAATCTCCAGCTGTAAACAGTCAGGGTCAACAATGTAGGTCCAGGAAACTTGTCTAGGGACAAAACCAGCAATCACCCATTTCTTTTGAATAAAGGAGGTCTACGCAATAATGAGTTTGATGCAAAAATCTAAACACAAATCTGAGAATTTAAATTTTGTAAATGCATTTAATGTCGTAAGTGTTATTCACAGTAGATGTAATGTAATTGCCTTAATTTTATTTTGTAATGTTTTGGCCTAAATTAATTGTATTCTATCGTATTTCAATGTATTGACTGGATGTATCTGTGCTTATGTATTTAGAATTAATTGTAGGTTGATTAGTATATATTAATTATAGTTTGTAAATATGATATTGAATTTACTATAATCTGAGTATCGCCAATTTTGTAAAGCGCTTAGAAACATTTTATTAAGCGCTATAGAAATACAATGTATTATTATTATTATTCTTGTCCCCCTCCCCCCAGGAAAATTTTCCTGCGTGCAGCCTTGCTCTCTCTCTCTCTCTCTCTCTCTCTCTTTCTCTACTTCTCTCCGTCTGTCTGGCTTTCTTTTTCAACTCTCTCTCTCTCTGCAGGGCTCGAATTTAGCGGTGGCCCGGTGCCAATGGCCACCTGAAACGCTGTCGGGCCACCTGAAATCACCGACTAGATGGCCCGGCTGGCCACCCAAATATTTGGACAGTAATATATAAATTATTTATCAACAACTTGTTTAAAGATAAACTCCAGTACTGGTAAAAAAAAAGAAATTAATTCTCACAGAATCAAACGAAACTTACACTGAATGTTCAAGATTACAAATAAATGACATGTGCCAAACAATTTTGGAAGAAAATGTATACTGGCTGAGTAATGAGCATAGAAAGACAAGGAAACCAAGGTAGTACCATCCCCGACACCATGTGTGTTGTCCCATATATAGCTTTCTATGTGAGTGTTTGTTACTTTACCAAGACTCGGTCAAATTTATTATGATTTTGATGACTCCAGAACCTTGCAGTGCACACCAATACTTACATGCTCCATGATCAACTGTTTCTGATCCTTTCACACCTTTTCTTTCACAATGCAATCGCATTACCAGTACTAAAGTTTATCTTTAACCTTTAGATCTACCCGACACCGAAGCGACATTTATTTTTCCAAGCTTTTCCAAGCGACGCAATCCGATCTATCAAACAAGGAAATGTTTCGTTTCGCATACTAACTTTATAAAAACGATGCACGCCGTCGCGTAGGTACTGTACACACCGCCGCCGCCACCCCGGCCTGGCCGGTACATAGGCGTAGCGTTATATGCTACCGCGTATAGGGCAGCTGTCGATATCCGCATTGCAGCACAGCTAGTACGCTTCTCAACTCTTTGTTGCGCAGTTACAAACTGCGCATGAGATTTCGGGCGTGTAAGTTGGGGATTCCCAAATCCCAGCATTGTGATTGGTGTACTGACACTAAAAATCGTGTGCATGCAGCGGCGGGAGTTAGACTAAGTTGCTGTTCTAATAATGCGACGGAAAAGACAGTTACTGCTTTCAAAACAATAAAATAATCAATGGAATTAAATTAAGATGCTTTAAAAAATAAATGGATATCGTCTCAGTTGACGGTAGGTGTTTTTATCGCTCTAAAATTGAGGCTGCAAGAAAGGAATCACGCTTCGTGGTACCGATCGGGTGCGTTCAGAAACGGAAGTGGAAATAGATCTATGACCCACTGAAGACAGAGCAAGAAAATGCCAAACACAAGACTAAAATGTTGATCAGACTATTGCAATTAAATCGTAATACTAAAGGCATTAATTTAATTGTCAAAATATATCCACAACATAATGGTTTACCCTTGATAGTTTGATGAAGGAAAATGAATTAAAGCTCTTGAAATAACATCGAAGTGCCTATCGTTCGTTCTAAAAATGCGTGTATAACGGCAAGCAGAAGTTACGAGTCAAGCTTGATAGCACGTTTACATCCCTACACCGTCACCGACCTGATCGGAACAATAAGAATTAAACCAATTAAAAAACATCACGGAAGACTTTAAGGGACTCCAATTCAACAAAATTACCGTAAAATAATTATTTGCTTTGACAAATAATACTATAGATATTCATAATATCTTACAGAAATAATGATATTTCATGAGCTACGTACTCGATATCGAGTTCAGCTAGCCATCATTTTGAAATGAGACGTAGTTGTCATGCAGTAGACTGTAGAGGGCAGTATGCAGAAGAGAGAGGAAAAAGCGCGGGCCTGAGATCACGTGATATTCACGTGACTATTACGTGATTTTTTTTTCCCTCTCTAGCTAGCTGCGAGCTGCCGCATTCTGCGCTGCATGCATGACGACTACGTCTCATTTAAAAATGATGGCTACCTGAAATGTTTCGTTTCGCATACTAACTTTATAAAAACGATGCACGCCGTCGCGTGATGGCCACCTGAAAATCCATTTGGCCACCCAGATCTCCTACCCAAGTGGCCCTGCTGGCCACCTCAAAAAAAAGTTAAGGGCAAGCCCTGCTCTGTATGGCTCTCTTTTTTTTTTTGATTGTCTCTATCTCTTTTTTTAAATTCTCCTTTTCTCCAAATTACTTGCTTCAAGTTTTCTCCTTCAGTCAGATGCATGAGTTTCTTAAACTTAAATTAGCTCATACCTACTACATCTGTTAATTGCATCAAGGCATATCTCATATTTCCATCTTTCCACACTTTTAGTAACTGTAATACAACAGCAAACAAACAAAGCCAACAACTTAAGTTTTTTTTTAAATATAAATACATCCATGTATATTTATTAAGTGTACCAAGTTACATGGCAAGGTCAATAAAAACAACTTCATATTGGAAGCTGCTGAGTAGAATGAAGACATAACATTTGTACGCAAGTATCTTTAAGATCCCATGTACACCTAAACTTGTGTAATGGTACCCTGTAGTACGTGAAATACAAACATCTCTCTCAAGCCTTCTTCTGCATAGCTTGAGAAAAAATATCAACATGTATATTGGTTGCAGAAGCAGTTAAACAAGCAGTTGAAGAAGCATATGAGGAAGAAGCAGATGAGGAAGAAGCATATGAGGAAGAAGCAGATGAGGAAGAAGCAGATGAGGAAGAAGCAGATGAGGAAGAAGCATATGAGGAAGAAGCATATGAGGAAGAAGCAGATGAGGAAGAAGCATATGAGGAAGAAGCAGATGAGGAAGAAGCAGATGAGGAAGAAGCAGTTGAAGAAGAAGCAGGTGCAGTAGAAAGAGGCATATTTATCTTCTGTTCTTTTTCAGATTATAGAAAACACTGGCTTCGTACAAAAGCTGACAATCCCAGCGAGGTAAAATACTTCTCCCTATTGTAAAGTATAAATCTATGTAGGCACTGCTATCCCAATCCTAGAGACTCGTAGACAAATTGCTGGTCCCAACGTGGATAAACACAATTTCAATATCTTCAGTAGTTACAAATATTCCATCTGATATATATGATCTCAATGAATAAATACATGTTACAGCCAGGAACATGTATTAAATTGAATCCCCTTACACATGCACTTTTCCAAAGAGTGAAGATGGGTCTTGGGGATACCTGTAATGTCATGATATAAAATTTTAAAAAAATTAGAAAAATGTAAAAAAATAAAATCTAGCTAAATTTTTTAAAGGTTTTTTCATGGTTGAGTAAATACAAGTTTTATCAGTACGCTTGAACAATGCAGGTTAGGGCAAGTGTGGTATATGATCTTCATTGCCATAATGATAATAAACGAAATTGGTTGTAGGAGTTCACGCCAGAAAGACAAACCCCTTTTTTATAAGACTAATACAATTGCAAGGTAGTGTAGAATTAGGGGACAAATTTATAGCCCAAGTCAAAGGAAAAAAATAATCTGACCAAATTCTATAATCTATATTCAGAGAAAAGAATGAATGAAAATTGAAATTGATATATTAATTACGGTACTCATAAATGAGGTAATACTCTTTTTAGGTGGAGTTGGGCTCCTTCATTACGTCAAATTGTGCTCAACTACGTGTGACATTATTTTTGTGAATGTCCGGTGCAGTGCACACGCCACAACCTGGCCCTGCCCTGGCTCTGTCGTACAAATACAATATAGTAATACAATTACAAAAGTACAAATGTAGATCCAACTCTAACACAATCCAAAAAAAAGGTCACTAAAAATTCATCCCAAGATCTAACCTAACGCTATAGACCTCTAGCCTACTTAATTTTACTTTCAATTTTAGCTATATTAGCTAACACACTAACATTAGCGACTCTAACTTAGCGTTATTATTTATCAATAAATAATATTAATTCCCTTTTCTTCCTTGCTTTAATTTAATCCTACCTAATCCTATCTTAAACTTTTCAACTAAAATTGAAAATGTTTTTCATTGGCTTCAAGCAAAATTATTACAATGATTGAAATTTCTTGAGACAAAACAGTCTTCTTCCAAGGCCAAGGGCATGAGATACACTTGTATCCCACACTCGAGGTATACAATTTACCCACCAAACGTGAGATCAAGAGAAACTAACACAGATTTGCACATGTGGCACTGTTTTTTTTTTACCTCCGCACCGATTGCAAACATCAGCGCATTTACGGCCCAAATTAACCCTATCCCCTAAACTCGATCACATGACCGTTCTATCACCCAAGAAAAATATATTAACCCTCATAATATGCAATCTTTAAGCCTAATTTTGAATAAGTCATAGTTCAAAGGCACTGTAAAATCCGGTGTCTTTGGTTAGGCCGAAGTCTGGAGAATACGAAGGAAAAACAATCCAATTTTTAGTTTTTTTTACTTAATTAATTTTCTTACTCGTAAGGGGGGAATGTTGTTAGATGCCATTTTTTCCCCGCAAATCCTTTTTTTTTTTTTGTACTCAAGGGGGGGGCGTGCATTAAATCCCAGTATTAGAGGTCTATTCACAAGCACTGCAAAATATAACCTTTTTAAGGAGTAACATACTACCTTTTGCTTGCATGAAGTAGCCTACTATGCAGCAAAAGCATAAAATACGTAGTAACTTATATGTAGCACCCAAGCCGTGGTCTTGTGGGAAACCTCAAAATCATTCTTTTGAAAATGAATGTAGATTTCATTTGATTTCTTACCTGCTATATGATGTTGCATACAGGATTTTAGCAATTTACTGAAATAGTTGTTGTATGTATCTTGATCAAACTTTAAGAAAGAAAGTTCTATAATTACCCCCCTTCTACAACATTCCATTAAAAGGACAGGTGATTATGTTGATGTTTTGTTCGAAGTAACTGTATATATGAAATTTTTTGCAGTGGTTTCAAGCAAAATTATTACAATGATTGAAATTTCTTGACACAGGTTATGTGAGCCCAAATAGCCCAAGTTTTTCATCCAATGGTCTGAGTATAACTTCCCTATGTGTTCATATACAAGGCATTTAGACATACATGTAGGGCTGTTGGAATGAGTGATCTTCCCCACTCCACTGACATACATTGGGAATGAACCTGAGTGTCGTTAGGTTCAGTTATTAACGGTACATTAAGTCTCTTCTTTCTATATAATGAAGAATGATAATAACATTTTTCATTGGAAAGAAAAGACAATAACCATAACCATTATGGTTATTGTTCAATTGGTGCTATTGTAATGCAGCTTTGTAAAATTGGTGAGGGGAATTCTTAGTCAATATTCTTCTCTTTAATTAATACAGATCCGGTTATCGAGCAAGGAGAGGCTAACCGTGGTCCACAGCCTGACAGCCAAGCTCCAGTTTCAGAGCATGGATCAGTGGATGACAGTGTGCCTCAGCCAGAACCTGGAGATGCCAGTGACAGCCAGGGTCAACAAGGTAGGTCCAGGAAACTAATCTAGGGTTAATGAAGGAGGTTTATGCAATAATGAGTTGGATGCAAAAATCTAAAATCTATACAAAAATCAGGCTATCATCTAATATAAGCACCAATAAACAATAAATAGGTGAAATTTGTAGAGAACAAATTGGATGACTATCACATCAAGTTTGAAGTCTGGTTTTCGGTTTGATTGAAAGATTGCAATACAAACCTGGTACATATTGCTTAAAAGTTCTCCTCCATTAAATCCCAGTATTAGAGGTCTATTCACAAGCACTGCAAAATATAACCTTTTTAAGGAGTAACATATATACTACCTTTTGCTTGAATGAAGTAGCCTACTATGCAGCAAAAGCATAAAATACGTAGTAACTTATATGTAGCACCCAAGCCGTGCATGGTCTTGTGCGAAACCTCAAAATCATTCTATTGAAAATGAATGTAGATTTCATTTGATTTCTTACCTGCTATATGATGTTGCATACAGGATTTTAGCAATTTACTGAAATAGTTGTTGTATGTATCTTGATCAAACTTTTAGAAAGTTTTCTATAACCCCCCCCCCCCCCCCCCTTTTACAACATTCCATTGAAAGGAAGGGTGATTACATGTATGTTGATGTTTTGTTCGAAGTAACTGTATATATGAAATTTTTTGCAGTGGTTTCAAGCAAAATTATTACAATGATTGAAATTTCTTGACACAGGGTATGTGAGCCCAAATAGCCCAAGTTTTTATCCAATGGTCTGAGTATTACTTTCCCATGTGTTCATACCCAAGGCATTTAACCATACATGTAGGGCTGTTGGAACGATTGATCTTCCGCACTCCACATGCAGACATACATTGCATGGGTATGAACCTGAGTGTCGTTAGGTTCAGTAATTAACGGTACAAGTCTTCTCCCCAAGGGGGGGGGGGGGGGGTGGGTACTCAGATTATAGTCGGACGGGGGTGTGCGGCTGAGACCTCCGAACCCATACCCACATCCAAAGGTCTTTTGCTGTAAATAGGTACCCATGTCTAAGGATTTTTTGTGAAAAATGGACCCATGTCTAAGAATTTCAAACTTTAAATATTACATTTTTTTAGCTGTAATAATACAATGGCCAATCATAAGTTTCTCGATAAAATTCTTTATTAGTAAACTGTACCATAGCCTACTACATGTAGTTTACAAGTAGTTTACACACATAAAGATGAAAACACCATGCTGAAAGTAAAAACAGAATAACCAAAGATATGGCATTTGGCAATTTTTATGCCTCCCCCTTGAAGTAGCCGGAATCATTATGTGTTTGGGTTGTCCATCCGTCCGTACGTACCGTTCTCGGATCGCGTTATCTCAAGAACCAATGTATAGATTCCCGCCAAACTTGGGTCATGTATGTATCTTGCAGAGCCATTGATCTGATTAGATTTTGGGGTCATGGGTTAAAGGTCACAGGTTCGCGTTATCATTGGAACCAAAGGACGGATTACCATCAAACTCAGGACGTATCTTGCGGAGCAAATGATCTGATTAGATTTGGGGGTCATAAGGTCAAAGGTCATGGGGCTCATTATGTATGTAAAAATAGCTTGTGATCACATTATCATTAGAACGGATGGATGGACTACTCAGGACTCAAACTCAGGACATGTATGTGTCTCGCCTAGCCAATGATTGAACTGATTAGATTTTAGGGTCATGTATATGAAAAATAGCTTGTTATCACGATATTCTGAGAACCAATTAATGGATTACAATAAAACTTGAATTTGTTGTTCAATTGGTGCTATTGTAATGCAGCTTTGTAAAAATTGCTGATGGGAACACTTATTCAACATTCTTCACATTAATACAGATGTAAATAGCAAGCAAGAACAGGCTCCACAACAAGTGCTAAAGTTGCGTGATGGAGGACAAGTACTGGGACTGGCTTCCAGTTCCTTAGGACCCAGTACTAACCTTGGTCTACAGCCAGACCAGCCAGCTGTTGACAAGGGTCTATCAGTTGCAGGAGCCACCTATGGGGCAGGTATGTCAAAATCGGTGAATTTATAAGATAATGTACATTTTAGTCAGCTTGGAGAATTCTATACACACAAATTATTCAGTTTTAAAGCTTGAAGCTTTAGACGAGCTGGATCCAACAATGAATAGCCCAGGTCCGGTTGCAGCAGCAACCCATAGCCATAAGATACTCATGGCAGGTATGTTGAAATCAGTAATGTACATGTTAGTCAGTTTGGACAATTCCTATACTCGCAGATTATTCATTATACGTACATGAAACAAGCACAGGCTGCATGCTGAAAGTAAAAACAGAATAACCAAAGGCATTTGGCAATTTTTATGCCTCCCCCTTGAAGTAGCCGGAATCATCATGTTTTGGGGTTGTCCATCCGTCCGTACGTCCCGTTCTCGGATCGCGTTATCTCAAGAACCAATGTGTAGATTCCTGCCAAACTTGGGTCATGTATGTATCTTGCAGAGCCATTGATCTGATTAGATTTTGGGGTCATGGGTTAAAGGTCACAGGTTCGCATTATCATAGGAACCAGAGGACGGATTACCATCAAACTCAGGACGTATTTTGCAGAGAAAATGATCAGATTAGATTTTGGGCTCATAAGGTCAAAGGTTATGGGGCTCATTATGTATGTAAAAATAGCTTGTGATCGCATTATCATTAGAACGGATGGATGGACTACTCAGGACTCAAACTCAGGACATGTATGTATCTCGCCGAGCCAATGTTTGAACTGATTAGATTTTAGGGTCATGAGGTCAAAAATAAAAAGGGTCATGTAGATGAAAAATAGCTTGTAATCACGATATTTTGAGAACCAATCAATGGATTACAATCAAACTTGAATTTATTGTTTAATTGGTGCTATTGTAATGCAGCTTTGTAAAAATTGCTGATGGGAATACTTCTCCTACATTCTTCTCATTAATACAGATGTGAATAGCAAGCAAGAAGAGGCTTCGCAAGAAGTGAAAGGATCGAAGAAGAACAACAACAAGAAGAAGAACAAGAAGAAGAACAAGAAGAAGAACAAGAAGAAGAACAAGAACAAGGAGATGTGTGATGGAGGACAAGTGCCGGGACAGGCTTCCAGTTCCTTAGAACCCTGTAGTAACCTTGGTCCACAGCCGAACCCTCTGGCTGAGCCAAGATCTGGAGCAGTTGCATCAACCACCCATGGGACACTCCTGGCAGGTATGTCGAAATCAGTGAATTTAAGTACATTTTAGTCAGTTTGGACATTTCTATACACACAAATGATTAATTATACATTAACAAGCACAGGCTGCTGAAAGTAAAAACAGAAAACTAAAAGATATGCCATTTGGCAATTTTTATGCCTCCGCTACAAAGTAGCCGGAGGCATTATGTTTTCGGGTTGTCCGTCCGTCCGTAGATGTACATCCCGTTCTCGTGATTGCGTTATCTCAAGAACCCATTGATGGATTCCCGCTGAGCTTCGGTCATGTATGTATCTACTGATTAGTTTTTAGGGTCATGAGGTCAAAGATCAAAGGGTCAAACATCTATATGACACATAGCTTGTAATTACGATATTCTGAGAACCAATTAATGGATTACAATCAAACTTTAATTTTAAAAATTGCTCTATGGCGGAGACATCATTTTTGACTGCGCAGTCAAAGATCCATCTATTCCTTTTTGTGTTCATCATAAATCTTACACAAGAAACACAAATAAGGACATGATTATGAATGTTTGAAAGTTTTGGTCACCAAATGTATGAAAATTTTAAATTTGTAAAATGATAATGTGATTTCAGGTGTTGAATATACATGTTGTTTACCTGAAACCACTGAAAAAGTTTCACAGCAAACCTGCCATAACTTTGGCTTATGACAATGAATCTTGATGATCTTTACATTTTTGAAAAGTGGAATAATCAGATTAGTTATACATTACACTTTTTCTTTGAGTATGAAGGAAAAATTGGGACAAAAAGACAGGAAAATTTGTATGACAAAATAAAATAAAAGTCCAAAATATTGAATAAAATTTCTAACCTGTGAACAACAGAGATATTTCAATATGTTATTGCATAACTATTGAAGAAAATTTCTGTGAAATGTTATTTTTTTTAATAGACCAATGCGTCTGTATATGTCTGGAAAAAAATCCAACAGAATGGAGGAGCATGCGCGAGTCTGTGAAGGAGCTGTGAAGTCACTTTTCTCGTTAGGGTTGCTGCTCCTACAAGGTTTTCAATTTCTGAAAAATCACTGATTCATTTTCTCAATCTTCAGGTGAATCAGGAGCAGAACAGTGCAGTGACCGCTCACCAAAAAGGAGCAAGGCAGTGGTCAAGGAGAAACCATTCCCTCCAGGCTCCAAGCAAAGGTTGCCTCTGCCCGAAAAGTCTTATCAGGACTACTGCAAATTGACCGAGATCGCATGGAAGAAGCGTAAGCACGGCAGGGCGCTTGGTATGGCACAGCTGGCTATCAAACGCCACAGTAAGTTAACAAAAAGTGATGCACCTGTGTATTAAAGATCTGATGTTCATTGTATCAAATGTATGTTTCATTTTCATTCTTTTTGCTACCCTTCTGTCTCTTACTCTTTCTATCTCTCTATTTCTCATAATCTCCATCGTCATCACATGGTATCTTTCTCTGTGTTTCTTTCTGTATCTCTCTCATTTTGCAACCTCAGTCCTATCTCCATGGTCCTCTCTTTCTCTTCCATTATTCCTAGGTAAGTACATGTACCTGAAACATGTGCTTTTGGTATTTTATCTATAGTATAATTGAAACCTTGTTATCAATAAGAAATGCTAAATATCTATGACAAATTTGCTCTCAGCCTATCACACTTCACAATTTCAGTAGTATATAACAGTCATTGTAACTTGTCATTGATAACAAGTTTTATGAACCAGGGCCCTGATCTGGATTGTATATTTCTAGCAAAAGGTGAAGTGTTTCCTTCTATCTATTCATATTTTGCATGTAAATTTAGAAGGTGGAGAGGCTAAAGTTTACAACCTTCTAATGATGTGCGGCGATTCCCATCTTCTCCTGACCCATGAATCTCCTAGCAACAAGCAGCTTCATCACAAAGACTACCAGAACATCTTGGAGACAGAAACCTTGATCCTAAAGACATCCTATGGTATGCACCGCTGCCACACCCCTCTTTGTGGTTTCCAGGACAAACTTCATCTACCCCTGAGCCACCATGCACCCCCAGAAAATCACTTTCACAACTCCCCCCCCCCCCCCTCCCTCCGCATTGCTACCCCCTAGAATAAATGCCACCTGTGTGTAACTTTGCCATACTCTCACATAGTAAGATAATTTGAATGTACATATCTTACAGTTGTTACTTTTTTCTTTGTCTTATTAACTTGACTGTATAATACAAAAGGAAAAAGAGACCTAGAAGGCTGTTGTCCAGCAAATCCAGAGGCACAAACTTATACAATACGAAAAGATAGCTTTCTTTAGAATATGACAAGTGATACATAAAAAGAAAAGAAAAGGGGAACTGGAAAAACAAAACGAATCTGAACAGCTTGGCACTCTTACGTTGAAGATATTGGTAGTGATCATGTACCTGTTTTTGATATTTGTGTTTAAATTTCATCTTGCAAAAGAATTTAGAGATTAAAAAAAGTAAATCTGATCATCTGTAAACTTCAAGATATTCATAAACCCAACAGCATCATCAGTTTAGCTAGTTTCAGATTTCTGAATACATTTCTAGTCGAAATATGTAAAACTGGCTGCCATGTTTTCTTCTTTTCTATTAATTTTTCCTTTCAGTTGAAATTTCTATACAAAAATTGAAGAAGCTTTCATATTTCTTATATCTCCCCGATATAGAATATGAGTGGGCAACTGAATTTCAAACAGAAAAAAAAGATTGTTTAGTACGTAGCATCAAGTGTTACGAAGCTTGTCTGGATGATAAGGTGAAGTTGGAGGAAGCATTCAAGAGGAGTGTCATTGTGAAGCACGGCAATGCTTGCAGTGAGCTTGGTGTCTTCTTGATGAACAAAGCTGAAAATCTTGCTTCTGTCAAAGGTGAGAAATACAGCAGTACCTCGCAGACATACACGGTTTGCAAGTACAGCGACACCTGTGTATAAAGACCGCTCAAGGGAGACAATAAAAGTTGTCTTTATAGGCAGGTGGCCTTTACATGTATGTACAGGTTCCTTTAGAACAGGTTTCATTGAGAAACCACATTCAAGGGAAACAAAGAATGTGGTCTTCGTGGACAGGTTGTCTTATTATAGGGATGGTCACTAAAGCAGGTTTCATTGTATGTTCATGTAAACACTTCAGTATAATCAGTTTATCAACTTTCTTTCTACGTACATGTTCTATGTGATATGCTATATATATGTTGCATGTGTGGGAAACATAGTTGTTTTCAATACCCGTATTTAGATTCCCTGTGAAGAGTAAAATTATGAATAAGGAAATGTATGAGATAAGCTTCATTTGTGACCAAATAAGCAAATTCTCTGTACCCTCATTCAGATTTAATATGTGAAAAAAATATGCCTGGACAATACTGTTTCACTTGGCAGAGAATGGAATGGAGTACAGTGTAGTGGAATTATGTGTGAACAAAAGGGATATATTTTTCTATCTCTCTTAAATTCAACTTTATTTCATTGTCCAATGGAAATTTGGTTTGCTCACATTTACATTCAAATATTCATAACATATTATATCCGCATACTAAGAATCTTGCAATCTGATTGGTCTCAACGAGGTCACATGATCAATAATAGATAAGTACTATCTCCCTGCGATAGGACTTTTGTACCGTAATTTTTTGCTGCTGCCCCACTTGCCCATTGAATAAGCATATAGCGCATAGCAAAGTAGGTTACGCAAAATGTCAATGTCAAATGAGCGCGCATCGACTTTATTACATGTATGCATGTTGTGCTTTGTAAAATCTAGCTGAAGCTAAACTGTCTGCAAAATCAGTTCTTTTAATTATCACTTTAAATAGACCTTATTGCCGATGTGGGATATAAAACAAATATTAACCTCCTTTACTCGGGCAATGGATACAAACTATCATCGCCTCGGTGATCTCGGGGCTACCTTGCGGCTCAGGATGATAGTAGCCCCAAGATCACCTCAGCGATAATAGTATAGTATTAATGACTGCTTTGAGAGAAATAGTTGTTTTTATACGCTCAAGGGAAGGTTAGAATTGTGCTATTACCCGAGGCGTGCCGAGGGGAATAGCCAAATTGTAACCTTCCCGAGAGCGTATAAAAACAACTATTTCTCGAATATTAAAGCAGTCATTAATACTTTTATATGCCGAAAAAAAATAGACTAAAATTTTTTTTTTTAATTCTTTCTTTTTGTCGAAGGTGGGATTCGAACTCTTGCGTGCAATAAGTGATGTATCTAAAACCAACGCCTCATACCACTCGGCCATCGCACGCTGTTACCATGCTTGGCAGTTTTGTACAATATATACATTAAAATGGATTGAAACCGGCTTCGCGTGATGAATGCTTCGCAAAAGCTCCATTAAACGGACCCTTCTTTTACTTTTGCAATGCATATTGACACGAACTTAGATCAAGATCTATCGGCAGATGTTGTTTTTTTGTTTTTGGAAGTTTATTTTCGTCTTCATGTCAACAATGCAAGATAAAATTGTCGGTAAGATCGATCGAGATTCAATTGTATTGAAATTACCGACCAACAGACCTATTTTCCCAATAACCATGGTTATTGGGAAAATAGGTCTGTTTTTACAGGAACAGTTAAAGTTTATGAATGCAATTTCGACCAATCAGATTGCTGGATTACTTAAGTGAGGTATATGATTTGTATTATATATCTCACTTAAGAAATCCAGCCATCTGATTGGTCGAAATTGGATTCATAAACTTTAACTATTCCTGTAAAATTCCCGGTAAAATTCCCGGTAAAATTCCAAACCTATGTAATAGTTTTTAAAAATAGTTCTAAAATCCCAGTTACCATGGTTACTGGGAAAATAGTTCAGTCTTGGTGAAATACCCATAGGTTCACATGTTAAAAAATGGTCTGAGCGATCAAGGATACCGTACGTGTGCAATGAATTGGTCGGTAATTTCAATACAATTGAATCTCGATCGATCTTACCAACAATTTTATCTTGCATTGTTGACATGAAGACAAAAATAAACTTCCAAAAACAACATCTGCCGATAGATCTTGATCTAAGTTCGTGCCAATGCATTGCAAAAGTAAAAGAAGGGCCCGTTTAATGGAGCTGCCGCGAAGCATCCAGCACGCGAAGCCGTTTTCAATCCATTTTAATGTATAAATAAGAGAAAACTGCAAGGTTTGGTATAAGTGCGCGATGGCCGAGCGGTCTAAGGCTGTGATTTTAGTCACATCATCGTTAGTACGCAAGTATTAATGACTGCTTTAATATTCGAGAAATAGTTGTTTTTATACGCTCTTGGGAAGGTTACAATTGGGCTATTCCCCTCGGCACGCCTCGGGTAATAGCACAATTCTAACCTTCCCTTGAGCGTATAAAAACAACTATTTCTCTCAAAGCAGTCATTAATACTATACCACACTATGAATATGACGGACAAAGAAAGCGGACAAAATATACAGTTCCTCAGGTAGACAAAGGAACATCCTTTCACTGCTATTATGTAAAAAGGTGAATATGCATGTGACACCTATTCTACACATTTTTACATAATAGCAGTGAAGGGATGTTCCTTTGTGTACATGAGGAACTGTATATTTTGTCCGCTTTCTTTGTTAGTCATGTTCATAGTGCCATTACCCTCGTAGTTGATTAATATTTGCTTAATATACATAGATACGTGGTATATATAGTAGGTTAAGAAAACATATTTACATTATAACATTTGTATAGAATAGTATGAAATTAGATTGGTGTGTAAACAAGCATGCATATTATGTATACTCCTGTTCAGATTCAAAGCCCAGTACGTTTGAGCAGCTGTGTAAGGGGAGTTACCGTTGGTTTGAAACCGGTGTGAAGTTCTTTGAGGAGGTTTCTGATTCCACCAACGTGGCCCTTGTCAATTGTAACATGGGTCGTCTGATGAGGCTCTGGGCCCAGAGCTATGCTTCCAGGGGTAGCATGGGACCAGATGCAGAGTTCAGTACCAAGGAGAAAAATTATTTTCTAAAGGTTTGTCATGTTTCCCTCACACTTTATTCCAATTTCTATAATATGTACTACTCCCCCTCTCATGTTAATTGATGAATTTGAGATGATCAATTTGAGGGGTGGGGCTAAAGTTAAAAAAACAAGTTGGTGGTTTATATATGCACCTGATGATATACTTTACTAACTTACTAAGTATACCAACCTTTTCACTCTATAAAAATGGGAATGGATGATTATAGTGGAGTTAAAAAAAAAGCATATATGCAGCATGTTAATTTTCTGAACATTAATTCTCGTTTTCTTCAGTAAATGTATGCCCTTCAGTTCACAGTTCACAGTGTCATGTGCAATCCTGTTCTAGGCAGTTTCCTCCATACCATTGTGTGTTGGGAATTAACCCTTTTAGGTCAGGATTAATTTTTAAGGCTAAATTTACCATATTATTTTCTTCAAATTGGCAACAATAATATTTCTCTTTTTTTTGTGTACATTGTTTAAATCAAATTTATTAATTATATATACGAGCCTCTTTCCCAGAGAGTAAAATTATGTGTTTTGGTTACCTTTCTTTGACTGATTTCAATATTGTTAGCATCTACCATTACCACCGATGGAGAATCAGCGTGCAATATCACTACAATATTGCATGCTGAGCATGATTTCTTACGCTGCACACAATTATAATAGCGTGCATTTAATATGACGCGAATATTGCGCACAATTTTGTATTGACCATGTGACGTTACAATGCTTATCAGTTAGTATTTTGCCTTAAAGTCGACTTGCTTAAGTAAAATGCTAAGATATGATCTAAATACTGGTAAGAGTCAACTTAGGCAAATGCTTTGTGGGTATTGTGTTTATATTCAAATCTTGAATCATCTTTCATTTTGACTTGGCAAATTTTGCTGTAAGATTATTTAAGACAACTAGCAGGACCCGCGGAAATCCGCGGGATTCTAGAGGGGGCGGGGGGTGTAAATAGATATCTAGAGACAGTCTAAATTAAAACCACCAAGAACTTTATTTGCCATTCAGGCCATTAAAAAAATATACATGTTTAACGTCCCCGCCCGCTTCCTTTTTGGGGGCCGCCTCCAATTTTTTTTTTTTGAAATTTGTTTAATTTGTTTTGTTTTTGTTTTTTTTTTGAAAGGAAAAAAAACAGCGTCCGCGCCCGCTTCCTTTTTGGGGGCCGCCTCCTATTTTTTTTTTTTTTTTTTTTTTTGAAATTTTTAAAAAAAAATTGAAAGAAAACAAACATGAAAAGCACTGCTAAAATTTATTTCTGATTTAAAAAAAAAAAAAAAAAAAATGTCGGCCGCCATCTTGAAAAATAGCCCGAATGTCAGGGAAAATATACGGAGCGGCCATTTTGAAAGAAAAAAAAAATAAGGGGTCTCCTCCTTCCCATTTTTCGAAAAAACAGGACGCTAAACATGTTTTTTTTTTAAATTTGGCCCTATATAAAAAAAAAAACGATCCAACTGTACCGGTAGTTATTCTTTAAGCCACTGGAACTACGTAGAGTTTCGTAGTGTGGCGTACCGACTACGCAGAAGTTAGGCTGCGTATTAATGGAAAAATAGTCCCTGCGTAGGTTATGCGTAGGCTGGTGTACAGGTTTGTTAATGTTTGCTTACTGTGTGGAAAGCTTTTACTGCTTTGTCGATCTGGCGTAGGGTAGCGTACTGTTGCGTAGGCATGTAGCGTAGTGTTGCGTAAAAAGGCGTACTTTCTGCATCAAGTTTCTACGCCGAAAGTACGCGAAAAAAATTAAACATGTTGAATTGTTTTCGTTCATCTTGCGTACCCCTTTCCGTCCGGCCCTCAGCATATAGTAACGTAGGCCAGCGTAGTTGGTACGCAACACTACGCAACTCTACATATTGATCCCACGCCAATTAGTAACCCGCAAGTGTCACAAATAAAGTATTAAAAATATGCTCATCTGACCCTAATTAAACGCCTAAAACCCCCGAGCTTTGGGGGTTTATGGCCCCTTGAAACCCGTGGACCACACGCCTATATACACTCAACCCGCTGCGATCTAATACTGACCCCCCCCCCCCCCCCCCGGCCCCGCCCCCACTTTGAATGTAACATGCAAGAATGGTGCATGGTGATGCCGATTTTTTCCTGCACCCCCCCCCCCCCCAAACAATTTTATTCATTACGCAACTGATTGTTTTGCAATGCATGAAGTCACATGCTTCTGTCTGGTTGATATTGAACTATTAATATGCAAATGTACAATTCATAACCTTATTCAATACTTTCTTGTAATTTACTGTAAAGATAAGAAACAAATTTTTGGCACTTCGGCCCGCACGCTGTTGTGTTGACGGGTTCTTCGATGGATGGATAGACGTATGTGTAGTTATATAGTTGTACGAATTTTGGCCTGCTTGGCCCCCCAAACTCTTCGACTCTAGCGCAGCTCAGTCTTGGTCAAAGCGCCCCAGCCGCAGCACCGTGTATACTGTATGTGTTGACTGAAGTTAGCTTGCGACTGAACTGTCAGTCCAATGGTTTTCTTGTGAAAACTTTCATTTAGAAAATGATAATCAAAATTCAGTATAAATGGCCGTAATAATCACAAAATAAGCTTTGATTTCATACCTCCATTCACGAAAACTATATAAAAATCGCGGCAATCATGATGGAAATAGGTCTCTAAGTTTGGACGTCGACGGGAATTAGCCCCGTGTATCTCTCTGGCTTGTGCAGCGAGTACAAAGCACACCCTATAGTAAGATGGCTTACTCGGGGGTTATCCCGCCCTTTGCATAGAGCATTTAATACGTAACATAATGTGAGTTGATGGTCATCTGTTGTGTGTCTGTTTGATACAGCTACTACAAAGCACATCCTAGCTGCAACAAAGCACATCCTATAGCAAGACGCTTTACTCTGGGTAATCCTGACCCTGTGCATCGTGCATTTAATACGCAACTTAATGTGAGTGGATAGTCATCGGTCGTGTGTCTACGGATTAATGTTGAATATCCATGAGGTATCTCTGTCGTCACGCATATCCTGCATTATGCATATCGCGTCTGTTTTCGCCCTGGACGTCGACACGGAGGAGGACCTCGGGCGGAGTATAGCCAATTCCACAGAGTAGACTCTCCAGCGGACGATGGCACCGGGCACGGGTACCCCGAGGGGAGGGTTCAGGAGGAGATAGCCGCACCAACTTCGGTCGGCGATCTCATTAAAAAACAATAGAATACAAAGGCTCGCGGAGACGTCGCGCCCCCCGTGGAGCCTTAGCGTATTACTTATATAGACTAGCAGGACCCGCGGAAATCCGCGGGATTCTAGAGGGGGCGGGGGGTGTAAATATATAGAGAATGTCTAAATTAAAACCACCAAGAACGTTATTTGCCATTCAGGCCATTAAAAAATATACATGTTTAGCGTCCTCGCCCGCTTCCTTTTTGGGGGCCGCCTCCTATTTTTTATTTTTTTATTTTTTATTTTTTTTAATTTTTTTTTTTTAAAGAAAAAAAACATCGTCCCCGCCTGCTTCCTTTTTGGGGGCCGCCTCCTATTTATTTTTTTTTTTATTTTTTTTTTTTTTTTTTTTTTTGAAAGAAAAAAAACATGAAAAGCACTGCTAAAATGTATTTCTGATTTTAAAAAAGAAAAAAAAAAAATTGTTGGCCGCCATCTTGAAAAATAGCCCGAATGCCAGGGAAAATGTACGGAGTGGCCATTTTGAAAAAAAAAGAAAAAAAAGGCGCCTCCTCCTTCCCATTTTTCAAAAAAACAGGACGCTATAAGCATGTTTTTTTTTTTAATTTGGCCTTATATTAAATTTAAAAAAACAATCCAACTGTACCGGTAGTTATTCTTTAAGCCACTGGAACTGCGTAGAGTTCCGTAGTGTGGCGCACGTACCAACTACGCAGAAATTAGGCTGCGTATTAATGGGAAAATAGTCCCTGCGTAGGTTATGCGTAGGCTGGCGTACAGGTTTGCTTATGGTTGCTTACTGTGTGGAAAGCTTTTACTGCTTAGTCGATCTGGCGTAGGGTAGCGTACTGTTGCGTAAAAAGGCGGACTTTCTGCGTAAAAAGGCGTAATTTCTGCGTCAAGTTTCTACGCCGAAAGTACGCAAAAAAATTTAAACATGTTGAATTGTTTTCGTTCACCTTGCGTACCCCTTTCCGTCCCTCAGCATATAGTAACGTAGGCCAGCGTAGTTGGTACACAACACTACGCAACTCTACGTATTGACCCCACTCCAATTGGTGACCCGCAAGTGTCACAAATAAAGTATTAAAAATATGCTCATCTGACCCTAATTAAACGCCTAAAACCCCCGAGCTTTCGGGGGTTTATGGCCCCTTGAAACCCGTGGACCCCACGCCTATATTATATATACACTCAACTCGCTGCGATCTGATCTCCCCCCCCCCCCCAACTTTGAAGAACGTAAGCCCCGAGCTTTTGGGGGTTTATGGCCCCTTGAAACCCGTGGACCCCACGCCTATATTATATATACACGCAACTCAGGACCCGTGGAAATCCGCGGGATTCTAGAGGGGGGCGCAGGCAAAAAATTAAGTTTTTCATTTCGGGGGCTCCATTTCAAATTTTTGGGAAATTTTCGGGGGCTACTTTTTCAACTTTCGGGGGCTCTTTTTTCTGGGGCTACTTTTTCATTAATTCATAAAAGGATAGGCTTACACTTTGTTGAGATTTGTTTAGTAGGCTAAGGTTTCAGGCTTCCTACTTCATAATTGCCTATTTAAAAAAAAAAAACATTTTTCTAGTTCAATAACTAAGTTTTCATGCATTGATTTGATGCAAGAACTGTAACATAATAGACCCTAGATTGTGATTATTTCTGACCATTAATTTCGATAATCATTTTGCAAAGTAAAATTTTCACAAGAAAATCAGACAGTCGTTTAAAAACGTAGACATTAGTAATACTTTTACTAATTCTAAGCTCAGGTTTCGTAAATCTATTCACGAAACTATATTGAAATCGCGGCAATAATGATCAAACCAACAGATAACAATTTCAAAGTGTCAAATCTCTTCGACTCAAGCTTAGGTGAACTCACACACACTGTAGCGTAACTCTAGGAAGCTCAACACCGCCGCCGCAGGCGTCGGACGCCTATGGTGCGCGGTCCCGGTGTTGGAGCTTCCTGCAAGCTCATCGCAACTCGCACACACCACACAGCAGCACTGCACTTTGTGTTGACTGAAGGCAGCTTGCGACTAAACTGTCAGTCCAATGGTTTTCTTGTGAAAACTTTCCTTTAGAAAATGATAATCAAATGTTAGTATACATTGCCGTAATAATCACAAAATAAGCTTTTATTTCATACCTCCATTCACGAAAACTATATACAAATCGCGCAATAATGATGGAAATAGGTCTCTAAGTTTAGACGTGTACGGGAAGCTTCGTGTGTATCTCTGTGGCTTGTGCAGCTACTACAAATATCCTATAGAAAGATGCTTTACTCGGGTAAGCCCGACACTGTGCATGGTGCATTTAATACGCAACTTAATGTGAGTGGATGGTCATCGGTCGTGTGTCTACGGATGTTATGTTGAATATCCATGAGGTATCTCTGTCGTCACGCATATCCTGCATTATGCATGTCGCGTCTGTTTTCGCCCTGGACGTCGACACGGAGGAGGACCTCGGTCGGAGTATAGCCAATTCGCTAGAGTAGACTCTCCCGCGGACGACGGCACCGGTCACCGGTACCCCGAGGGGAGGGTTCAGGAGGAGATAGCTGCACCAACTTGGGTCGGCGATCTCATTAAAAAACAATAGAATACAAACGCTGGCGGAGACGTCGCGCCCCCCGCGGAGCCTTAGCGTATTACTTTTATAGATGATGGATTGATAAATTGATCTTTTCAATCCTTTAAATTTCACTGTAGCTAGATACATAATAATAATGATATTGGCTTTCTTTCAGGGTATATCAGTTATATTGCATTTATGATGCAGGATGAATATTGCCCTCATCTTCGACTCGTGCAATATTGGCAAGCTAAATGTAATATATCTGATGTATCATATAAATATCTCTGATAACAATATACATGTTAAATTATGTTGTTGAAAAGTTGAGGAAAAAATCACAAATTTTGATTGGAAAAGAGTGATTCTGAATCTCTCAACATGTTGCCAATTTAAGGTTGTTTTCCTTTTTAAAATTCTTGACATCAAATGCATTATAGTGATGCAAGAAATATGTATATGCAATGTGTGCAGAAATTTTGCCCCTTTCTTCTCATGCATCTGGTATATTTTCTAGGGCTCTGAATCAAAGGTTATTGAGCCAAACCACAAAATATGGAATGGTCGTCTCGAAAGAGTTGAAGCCAGTTCAAGATTTACTTTGTTGTATACAGCACTTCACTTGTAGCATCATTGATATCATAGAGATGTACGAGTTCATGGTTTTAATTTATATTGAGTTTAGTATAAAGATTTCTGTCATGTACATCCAACCCTTGCAGGCGGCTGAGTGTTACAAGAGGGGTCTCAAAATCCTGGGCAACAAGAGCGGCCAGGTTGCATTGTGGGATTCCATCACGTGGGACCTGTGCTCGACATATTTCAACATGGCGTGTCAGATGCAGGATCGACCTCCGGTATCCCCCAATCTTGCAGAGGTAATGTGGAGGAGTTGAGCTGCTGCGTTCACATATGGCTTGGTTTATTGGCATGGTTTACCATTGCAATTTTTATGCCTCCGCTACAAAGTAGCCGGAGGCATTACGTTTTCTGGTTGTTCGTACGTACGTCCCATTCTCTTGATCACTTTATCTCAAGAACCGATTGATGGATTCCTGCCAAACTTGAGCCATGTATGTATCTTGCAGAGCCAAAGAACTGATTAGATTTTGGGGGTCATGAGGTCAAAGGTCACAGGGCTCATTTTGTATTCAAAAATAGCTTGCGATCGCTTTATCTCAAGAACCGATTGATAGATTCCTGCCAAACTTGAGCCATGTATGTATCTTGCAGAGCCAATGAACTGATTAGATTTTAGGGTCATGAGGTCAAAAGTCAAAAGTCATGGAGCTCATTTTGTATTTAAAAATGGCTTGTGATCGCATTATCATGAGAACCAATAAACAGATTACCATCAAACTCAAGACATGTATATGTATCTTGCAGAGCCAATGAACTGATTAGATTTTAGGGTCATGAAGTCAAAGGTCATGGGGCTCATTATGTATGCCTATAAATAGCTTGTGAACGCATTATCATTGAAACTGACAGATGGATTACAATCAAAGTTGAATTTTAAAAATTTCTTCCGTTTTTGTTTGAAAAATTGCTTTATGGCGGTTCCATCTACCGTAATTCTCCGTGTATAAGGCGCACTTTTTTGCCGCCGAAAAAAATTGAAAGTCGGGGGTGCGCCTTATACACAGGTACAGAATTTTTTTTTTTTTTTTTAGTTTTTTTAGTTTTGATTTATGGCGCTATGCCTGGCAATGTCTCCCAGCTCAGTAATCAGTGTGTTGACTCGCCACTCGGAAACTACAACACTAAAATTTGTCTGTCATCTTGGTTTGAAAGTAATCTTTCTATTAGATCTCAATATGTAGTTTATAATAATAATTCCTCAATTTGTTTTATATAAAAAATGGTGTACCACAAGGTTCTATCCTAGGACATAGGTACTCTATTGTTTTTAATTTACATTAATGATCTTACACATTCTTCTAAAAACGACATTGTTACTATTATTTGTGACAAGTTTACAAGCACAAATCACCGCCTTTAACTGCACCTCGATGTTAAATGAAGGTCCTTCCCCGCGAGGGTTTTCAGGCAACAAAACAACAACTTTTCTTTTTTTAAATTTTTTTTTATACCCTCCCCAAAATAGGGGTGCGCCTTATACACAGAGATTTACGGTAGTTCCATCTCGTTTTCCAGTGCAGTAGAGCACATGTAAATTGATCTACCGGTAATCATCATTATTTTTTAAGCAAAGAGCTCTGCACATTTTTGTGTCTCAAACATGCAGATAAAGGAGTAGCCTTTGATGCATACAAACGCTCTTTTTGTTTAAGTTTGAAAAAATAAATGTAGCGGATTACAACGTCATATGTGAGCGAGACTTTATTAGTTAGAAAAGGGAGACTGCTGGTTTCATTGGAAGCTACGTTAGAAATGCTCTTAACTTACATAATTTCTGTGGTTATGAAAGTATATTATATTTTGCTCTAAATGTTCTTTGTAATATATGACTTGGTTAACAGATTGCTGTTATCCATTGGAGTTTAGTTCTTCCATCTTTGATAGCTTAATTTTGCGACAACATTTTAAAAAACATGAGAATAAGAAAAGCAAAGAAAAAATGTTGTAAATTCTAAGTACTTACCATTATAACACTCTTAAAATTCATAACTTCACATCCCACATCCCCCACACTCTAGTGAAGTCCCTGGCTACATGATTTGAGTCTTTTCACATACAAGCAATGATGGTTATAGTAATTGACATTATTTCCTACTTTTTATTTTAGATCGAGAAGGATGTGTTGAAATTCATGAGCAATGCATGGGCTCTTTGTGACACAAAGGAGACATCCAGCAGACAGCATCTCTATCAGGATAGGGTAGTTACTATCCATCTTCGACTGGCATTAATGAATCACAACTCGATGAGAAATCAGGTTATTTGAGATGGTCCTTTCTTCTTTGTTTTTGCTATTTCTTTTTTCTTAAATTCATGTATATTGTAACTTTTTATCTGTGACAGTAATGAATGTTGACAGGACAACGACCTTTGCTACTCCCTTGCATCCACTTCAGCACAGTGTATGCATCTTTTGTCATTACATCATTTATCTATTTTAGTACAAAGTTGTTCTTAAAATGTTCATATCTGCATAATTTTTATTTTTTAAGACATGTGAAATAAATGAATTTGAATAATTTGAATTCAAGAGTGCAGCGAGGCTATTATCGCATAGTAATTTTGAATGGGGTATGTATACCTGCCAACCCTTCCAAATAATTAAGTAATATTGACTGGCCTTCAGGGCAATACAACATATATATGAATTAGGCAGTCAATATTACTATTATTAACCACATCAGACATCTAGAGCAAACAAGAAACTCTTACTTTCTTATGCTCTTAAATTATGTTAAACACAGTTAACCTACACTGCACAGGGTTTCCTAGCATGAAAAGTTGCAAAAACATCGTCAAACCAGCACTGTGCATCCAGTGCTTGACAAATTTTTCGATACACTACAAACAGTGTGCCCTAGGTGTGATTATTACGTCACAATAGAGTGCGCGCAAAGTGCGCATTTTCTCATACGCGTAATAGATGCGCAATGAAAATTACAATTGGCTCTACAGTATTGCCCACTAGCTTAACACACATTTTGCCATTGACTTTTGAGATCGGGCAATAATATTTGTTAATTGGTTTACTGTATAATATTATTGACCGGCAAATTAAACACAAAATCCCGTTGACTTTTCTGAGCGGGGTCAATAATATTTTTTATCGCCTGTAGTTTTGTTGGCTTATCCATTAAACCTTGAGGGCAATAACATTTAAAAATTGCCCTGCTCAGATGTCTCATATGGTTAATAATCCGGAATATTCTGATATTCTGGATTTTTAGGACCTACAAATTCAGAATATTCTGATTTTTCAAAATTTCAATTCCCAGAGTCTTCATAATTTCTGCTTTGATTACATTGAAGAAATGTGCAAGTTTTGTTAATGTTTCTATGTAACAACATACCTTCACTTTTCAGGGCCAACTATAACAATGTTGAAAGAATAAATGGTGTAAATGCAAACCTTGCTCAAATCTATCGTCACCATGCAAGCCTTCAGGATTATATATATATATTTTCTTTTCCTTTTCATTTAAGTTACATTCCAAATATGTTTCAACTGTTTGAGTTCTTTGCTCACAATCCTTATGTACAGATAGTTCTACACAAGACTCCACTTTTGTTTTTTAGACAATGATGTTACTTTGTCTCTCTGTATCTCTCTCTCTCTCTCTCTCTCTCATTCCTTCAACATGAAGAACACTAAAACTTTTGCTAAGCTCCACTACAACAAGGCTATTAAACTCTTCGAGAAAATGGATAGCCCTGGGGAACTACTTAGAAAAGAGCTGGAGAGAGTGGCATTGCTACTAGAACATCAGGTTGAAAGTAAGAGTCTCTTCTTTTAGTTAACAGTTTTGTTTAAAAAAATAAAAAAGCATATATATATATTCCCAACTTTTGAACATTCATGATTACTTTTTGATGCCTCTGCAATGAAGTAGCCGAAAGCATTATGTTTTCAGGTTGTCCGTCTGTACGTCCGTCCAACTGTTATAAAAAAATTGTAGTTGTTACAAAAGTACGAAAACCCCTTCTATTATTACAAATTTCCAAAAGTGTGTGTGTGTGTGTGCCATTTTCAACGGCAAAATGCTCATTCTGTCCTGTAAAGTATCCTACAAGCATCTCACATTGCTAATTTTGGGATGTTCATTGGTTCATCGAACACACCAGTCGTGACAAAATCATGCATATTAAACCAATGATCCATAAAAAATTCTTCCTGTATGTAGGAACTGTAAGAGGTATCGATCCATGTTTGTTTTTTTGTAATACAATTTTTGTCAGTAAAATACAACTTTTTTGATTAAAGAATACAGTTTTTGAACTCCAGAGGTTAGCAGGTCTGACATAGATGTGCGATTTGCGCACATGATATTCAGTTTTACTTAAATGTTACTAATTGAAAATTGCAAATGTTTGCAGCAGCTATGTGTATGTCCCGTTCGCGTGATCACGTTATCTCAAGAACCGATAAATGGATTACCATCATACTCAGGACACGTAATGTATCTTGCAGAGCCAATGAACTGTTCAGATTTTGGGGTAACAAGGTCAAATGTCAAAGGTCACAGGGCTTATTATGTATGCAAAAAGAGCTCGCTTCTGTTTTGGTTTGTAAAATTGCTCCATGGCGGAGGCATCATTTTCGACTGCGCACGGTCGAAGGTCGATCTACAGTAGTTTGATATATTTCTTCAGTTTTCTATACAATGGTCTGAGTAATCTTCCCCATGAGTTCATTCGCATTTCATTTAGACATACATGTACATGTAGGGCTGTTGGAAAGGTAGGGCTTTCCCACTCCACTTTATTCAGACATGCATTGGGTATGAATCTGAGCGTTTTCAGATTCAGTAACTAATGGTACAAGTCTTTTCTCTCTAATGAAGAATGTTATGGTTATTATTCATTTGGTGCTATACCATGTGAGTCAACAACAAAAAAGTTTACACCTAGCAAATTGCTAATTATTTCATAAATCATCTATGAACAGTAAATTATACATCTTATAAAAGAGTGTTTTATCCCGAATCATTTAGTATCATTTCTGTGTGGTATGGGCTCACGCTTGGATGAACTGGAGGTATTGTTTTGCGAGAGTGCAAAAATCGACTTGCGCCAAAGTTGCATATGTGAATAAAACAATTGGGTTTTGGGTATTGACTCGGTCATTGCAAATCCAAATAACATCCCTAACAAAATTAATCATGCCACACATATCAAATATCAACAAACATTTGTGCACGTGTGTGTTTGTGTTTGTGACTTTGCTTCTGCAAAAAGCATACATGCAATGCATCTCATTTGATACATTCAATTCACTCTCTCACTTTAATCCCAACATATCACATACTGCAGGCATCACTTCGGCACAAGTTGATTTTTGCACTCTCGCAAACAATGCCTCCTGTTCATCCAAGCGTGAACACATACATGTACCACACAAAAATGATACCAATTGATTTAGGATAAAATGCGCTTTCATGAGATGAATCATAATCTACTGTTTGTAGGTGATTTTTGTCTCGCCTACGTAGCAAAGAGCGAGACATAGACGTCGCTTTTCCGGTGGCGGCGGCGTCAACATCAAAAACTTAACCTAAGGTTAAGTTTTTGAATTTTTAGTATAATTTTGAAAGTGTAAGTCTTCATTTAATGAAACTTGGACTAAAGGGTTATCAAGTATCCCCAATTATGTGAGTAGAATTTCAGGTCACTAAGTTAAGGTCAAAGGTCATTTCAGGTCAACAAACTTAGACTCTTTTGTGGCATCAACATCAAGATTTTGAATTTTTAGCATAATTTCAAAAATGTTTTTTCAAATTCCATGAAACTTATACACAAGGGTTATCAAGTTTCACAAATCTTATGACACAAATTCCAGGTCACAAGGTCAAGGTCAAAGGTCATTTTAGGTCAGTATGTGGGAATTAATACATCAATTTTTGTTATTGTTTCATATGCCATTAAAGTTATTTATCTTGGTACAATTTATAGTAAATAATATTTTCGATGACTCTTGGTCAATATTCACTTCAAAATGCTGATTATATTCAGAGGATTTCATTGAGGGGGGGGGGGCTGCTAATGGGCCACCCTGCCTATGAAATGTCCAAACCGCAACTTTTGCCATTTTGAATTGCGTAATGCAGGCGAGACCGCCGAGAGCATTTCCCTTTTGCAATTTTCTAAGTGTAAACTTTTTTTTGACTCACATGGTTTTGTAATGCACCTTTGTAAAATTGCTGATGGGAATACTTATTCAACATTCTTGTCTTCAATACAGATCAAGGTAGGGAACGAGAGGCTCTTCAAGACGAGGCTTTACCACATGTGCCAGAAAGGAGGAATGTGCGTGGTGGAGGACACATGACGAAGCTGGCTTGCAGTTTCCAAGCTCCAGAGCCAGAACCTGATGGAGCAGCCACCCATGAGACATGCACTCATGGCAGGTATGCATGTCCAAATCAGTGAATTTATAAGATAATATACATGTTAGTCAGTTTGGACAATTCTATACACACAAATTATTCATTATACATAAACAAGCACAGGCTGCTGAAAGTAAAAACAGAAAACTAAAAGATATGGCATCTGGCGATTTTTTAATGCTCCGCTACAAAGTAGCCGGAGGCATTATGTTTTCAGGTTGTCCGTCAATGCGTCATCTGTCCGTACGTCCCATTCTCAAGAACCAATTGATGGATTCCCGCCAAACTTGGATCATGTATGTATCTTGCAGAGCCAATGAATTGATTAGATTTAGGGGGTAAGAAGTCCAAGGTCGAAGGTAATGGGGCTCATTATGCAAAAATAGCTTGCGATCACGTTATCTCAAGAACGGATTGATAGATTTTCTCCAAACATGGGTCATGTAAGTATCTTGCAGAGCTTATGAACTGATTAGATTTTGGGGTCACGAGGTCAAAGGTCACAGGGCTCATGAATGCAAAAAAAGCTTGTGATCACGTTATCTCAAGAACCAATTAATGGACAGATTACCATCAAACTCAGGACATGTATACATGTATCTTGCTACGCCAATTAACTGAGTAGATTTGGGGGTCATAAGGTCATTAGTTCATGGGGCTCATTATGTATGCAAAAATAGCTTATGAACGCATTCTTATTAGATCTGACGGATGAATGGATTACTATCAAACTCAGGACATGTATGCATCTTGCAGAGCCAATGAACTGATTAAATTTTAGGGTCATAAGGTCAAAGATCAAAGGGTCATACATAAATATGAAAAATCACAATATTCTGAGAACCTGTAAATGGAATACAATAGAACTGGAATTCGAAAAATTGTCTCTGTTTTGGTTTGTAAAATCGCTCTATGGCGGAGGCGTGCAGTCAAAGATCCATATAATTAATTATTTATAATTACATGTTTTTGAGTTATATTCCGATTTCTTTCACCGTTTCTGTTTTTTTCTTCTCTAGTGTTTGAGATGGAGAGGTTCCAATCTGAATGACAGAGCAAGGCATCCAACGATGCGCTGGTCAGACTCATCTTTGAGTACGCCAGTAGTTCATGGGACGGGACATCCTTCTCATCGAATCGATACAACGGAAGACCGCCTGATTCTGAATGAATGATTAATAATAATAATAATAGTGGCTACTTGTATAGCACACAGGTCCACCTTTCGGTGCTCATGGCACTTATAGAGAAAAGTACATGTAACAGACATAAGAAAGAAAAAACAATAAACCGAAAAACAAATTCGAAATTCTCCTATACATAGTAAATTAGAATATTGCAATAATTACAACGAAAGAAACAAATAAGTTTTTAGTTGTAGTTTGAATGTTTCTGTCGACGACAACTAGTTGACGTAATTTTAGAGGGAGCTTATTCCAGAGTTTTGGACCCATGGCTGAGAAAGCCCGTTCCCCCCCAAGCATGTTTTATTCTGGGTGTATTAAGTAATAGTGTGTCTGATGAGGAGCGAAGACTTCGTGTGGGGTTGTATTTTGAAACAGAGTTGCTCAGGTATGTAGGGGAAGAAAGAGAGTAAACTGAATGATTTACTAGTGACATAATTTTAAAAATAATCCTTTCGTCAACTGGCAACCAATGGAGAGAACGGAGAATTGGTGATATGGAATCAGATTTTTTAGTGAATGTTAATAGGCGGGCTGCAGAATTTTGAAGTCGTTGAAGTTTTGTGACATCTTTTTTTGGAAGGTTACAGAACAATGAATTTGCAAAATCTAAACGAGAAGAAATTAAAGCATGAATCAAGATCTCAGCCGCAGGTTTAGATAAACACTTTCTTATGAAACTTAGATTACGTAATTGGTACCTTACTCTGTTGAACATGTGTTATATGACTACGAAAGGACATTTCCTGATCAAATATTACACCCAAATTACGAGCTGTTTTTGATGGAGTGATACATGTTTTTCCAATATGAAGATGACACGATTGATTGTCAACCTTCCCTAACATGTGCTTGGCACCTAATAATAAAAACTCAGATTCATCATCATTCAGCTTAAGGCCATATTAGATATTAGCCAGGATTTGAGTTCTTCAAGACATGTTTCAAGTTTTGAAACAGCTGATGACAGTGAAGACATTGTAGGTTTAAAAGAAAGATAAATTTTGATGTTATCTGCGTAGCAATGGTAACTAATATAATGTTTGTGAAATATCTTATTGATTGGTTGCATATAAAGAGAAAAGAGCAGTGGTCCTCCTACCGAACCTTGGGGTACACATACTTCATAGTAGTTTTAGCAGAGGTAGAATTGCCAATTTTTACATACTGAGATCGTTCAGAGAGATATGATATTAACCAATTAAGGACGGTACCCTTGATACCTAATGATTTCAGCCTTCGAGTCAGGATAGAGTAATCTACTGTATCAAAAGCTGAGCTCATATCTAACAAAATAAGAACAGTAATATTACCGCAATCCAGTTCTCTAAAAATAGTATCAGTTATGTTGACAAGTAGTGTTTCCACACTATGGCCAGGCCTGTAGGCAGATTGACAAGGGTCAAACAATTCATTGTCTCGCAAATATGCAGTCAGTTGTGAGAAAACAACCCGTTCCAGCAGTTTACTCAAAAAAGATAAGTTTGAGATTGGGCGGTAATTTTTGAGACACTCCTGATCTAAGCCCGATTTTTTCAAGGTTGGATAGATGACAGCTGTCTTACAAACCTGTGGGACAATACTTGAACTAAGGCTAGCATTAATAATGCTTGTGATGACAGGTGCCAAGACTGTGCTACACTTCTTAACCAAATCTGTTGGGATTGGATCAAGCTCACATGATTTATTTGGTGAGTTCTTGATAAATGTTTCTGTCTCACTGATAGTGACCGACCAAAACTCACTCAACTCTGATTCGACTTCACAAACAGTGTCATCCAGCTGTACAACATGAGTTTGGAAGCACTATCGGATTGTTAGAATTTTGTCTACAAAAAATTGATTAAAACGATTGGCAAGCTTCAACCGATCACCATGAGTGAGATGTTCTGGTAAAGGAGATGGTTGTTTTCTGTGTAGTAAATTATTAGCAACTTTATACAATTTCTTTGTGTCTTTCCCACAATCCTCAACTTTTTTTGAGTGATAGTTTGACTGAGCAATCTTAATCAAGGCTTTTACATGTTGTTTTGGGGTACGATACATCTGCCTGTGAATCTCCAGTTTGGTGGACCTTGATCTTCTTTCTAATTGTCTACGAAGCAGTTTTGCTTGAGCTATATCTTGGTTATACCATTCAGTATTTGAGTGAATTGTAACACGGAGTTGCTTCTCAGGTGCCAATGTATCAAGTGCAGATGTGAGTAAGGTATTTACAAATTAACTTCTTCATCTACACTATTTGCATGAGAACCGGTTGATATAAGAGACTTTACATGAGTGTCATCTAAAAACTGTTTTGGGTCTACAGATTTCAAGTTCTGTGTTGTAACAAGCTTTTTCTTAGTAGATTCAAATGTGAAACACCTCTCCTTCCATAGCACAACCACGACCATACTAATCAAAACGAAGTACAGTTAACCCTGAGTATACCGACGCACCAGAAACAGAAACAGATGCAAGGTTTACCATATGGGGGATGGGTGGAAAATGGAGAGCATGTTCGACATAATTAGGCTTGTTGGTCATACAACTGAAGGATAATCCTGGTGATAACACTTGAGTGGGTATACACCCGCATGGTGTTGAATTTCTCATTAATAGAGCCCGCTACTTTGAATATTCTAAGATTTAGGGTTAGGGCTAATGTGGGGTTTTACCGGTAGGTTACGTTTAAGTATAGCAGGGTTCCCACAGTGGTGGACATAATTTGGAAAGTCATGGAAAACGGCGAGAAAATCTCCCAAGGTAATATTGAAAGTCATGGAAATTGATCATAGTAATGGGATGTGTGTGGCAGCCATGGCAGCCTTCCAGGTTAAACTAACAAGGTTCGTACTTACCTGGTCATAGGAAAAAGGCTGTTGGTATTGGAATTGCATGGTTCTCAAATTTCTTGTTAGAACACGATATGTTACTGTAGGGCCATTATCTGAACTATTTTTAGGCCAGATACACAGCATTATTTGAATAATTCTCTATTGTTTAAATGCATTCGACCATCAAATCTTTTACGATGTAAAAACAAATTGTGGTCCTTTCAATCATGGCTTTGAATTAAGTGATCATTCAATTTATTCTATTACCTCCCGAAGGTTGCCAATGATGTGCAATTCCAATGGAGTATTTTCAGCAGTATAAGTGTATACCCCAGTTATTAGAGAACCATCATGAGATATGTTTCAATAGCAAATGTATTTGGTGTTTTTAAATATTCGTCATGGTCTAAAAAGTGTTTTCATGAAGTGCCTTAATATATAATGTGTCTTTCTTCGAGTAATAATCAATTAAAGAGAAGGTTGAGTTCTGGGAAGAGGTGAAAAATAATTTGTGAGCGTTATCATTCTTATTACCTGTATACAAGTGTGGAAGAACATCAGATAAGACATGTCCCCTGAAAAGCATGGCTCTTCAAATGCCTTCATATTCTAAATATGTCATGTAACATCGTAAAAAATCCGGCATAGGATTTTTACGCCACATGTTCGTGTAGTCCCATATACTTCTCTTCTGTGTACAGTGTTTGTAGCTTTACCAAGCCTTGGCCAAATTTCTTATAATTTTGATGATTCCAGAACCTTGCAATACACACAAATTCTTATATGCTACATGATCAACCTTGTGTTGTATGTGTCCCAATCTTGCATTGTTTGTGCATATACCTTTGCTACTTTGGCAATTATTTATGTTTGAAGATATTACGAAGATTATATATGCTGTGCTGAAATAGAGGGAGACTTGGAGAACCATCATGAGATGTTTCAATATCAAATGTATTTGGTGTTTTTTTTTTAATACTTTTCATGCTCTAAAAATTGCTTTCATATATAATATGAAATGTGTCTTTATTCAAGTGATGATCAATTAAAGCTGGTTTGGTAAAGATTTATATACTTTGTTTTATTCTGCAAGAAGTGAAATAAGAGCAATTAAGGGGTCCGTCGACTGTTGAAGATAAAGAGAAGTGTAGAGGAGATTACAAAGAGAGATAGAATAGAAAGTGAGAAGAGAGAGGTATGATAAAAGAGACAGAAAAGAAAAGAGATAGTGGTAGGAGGAGGCAAATAAGGAGGAGCAAGAGGATGAAACGAATGAGGAGACACTTAAATTGCGGACATGTGCCGCCGCCGCACAGTTGGCCAGGGAGGAACTAAAGTGCGCCAAAACTCATGTTTGGGGATTTAATTTTTATAAATCCAGAGGAAATGTTTGGATTTCCAGGGATTTTCGCTTACATTTTATTACCAACATTTTCTCTGATGTCTAAGCTTTAAGTTGATACCAGATTTGGCTGCCCGATAATGCCCGTTATTATGTTAGAGCCGTTTTCTTTGCAACATTGCCCCGAAAATGTGTTTATTTTGGTCCGCGGTATCAGAACAAGACAGTCACGCGCCCCCTCGGGCCGTGATTTATGACCACGAATCCTTCATGATTCAGCCGCGGACCAAAAAAACCCCACATTTTTCGAGGCAATGTGGCAAGGGAAATCGGCGCTAACATAACAACGGGTAAGATCGGGCAGCCAAATTTGGTATCAACTTGAAGCTTAGACATCAGAAAAAATGGTGGTATTAAAATTTAAGCGGTACACCGCGGAGATCTAAACATTTCTTCTGGATTTCTAAAAAAAACATGGATAATTAGTCAATTTTTCAGTGAATTACCCTATAATGTATCATGAAGATTGTGTTTCTATTCATTTTAACCCATTCATTCAACGAAATGAACTATCAGAAATATGTGAGAGCAATTTCATATCAATAACTTAAAAACTTCATGTTGAATTGAAAGATTTATAAAATAAGTCACTTTTGCACTAAAACTGTGAATGTAGGGTTTTGCTGTTTGAAGTAGTAAATTTATACCCTTATTGTGCATACCGGAATTAAATATTTCACTGATGTATTCCTCTATGTATTAACTTTCAACTGGGCAAGAAAAAAAATGAAAAAAATAAATCACCAAAACTTAGTTTTGGCGCACTTTGGTTCCTCCCTGGCCCACTGTGCGCCGCCCTCCAAAACAATTTTATGTAATTAGGCGGAGTCGGAAAAGAGGGGTTTGGTTGCCACTAGCCTTCACTTGTTCATTTAAAAGGTTTTATCATAATGCACAATATTTCACAACCCTAAATCAGAGGGGGCGTCCAAAAAAAACGGCCCTTTTGATGAAAAATATTATAAATTTCATGGAAGCCTTGAACCACCCAGAGCTTTTTGTCTTATGAAAGAAAATTAAATTATCTACATTTCGATACCAATTTTATTGGGATTTGGATTATTTAACATCACAGTTTCAAGTAAGAAACAAGATTTGTTGTGAGTTTTGTATTAAAAAAAACATTATTTACCATCATTTTAAACAAAAATCGAAGAGGTGTATTGCTTGTGCCAAGGAGAGGCCTATTTTTCTTTTCAGTAAAAAGTTATAGCAACCCAAGGTTATTGACTTGAGAAGAGACTGCGTACATGCACAGGCCAATCATGATTATGGGAAAGGGTGTATAAAGATTTTTTTTTTTTCCAGACTAGTTATGACCGGAACACAATATTTTCCCTTTTGAATAAGATTGTAGAATATGTCAGAGATGCCTGTATGTTTGGTTAAAAGTCCTTCCCTACGTCATTAACAGTCTTAAATTTTAACCTCCAAAACGTGATGATAATGCACAGAAATTCTCCATTTTGAGAAAAATGATGGATAAATGCAGCATAATTATGCATGTATTAGGGGGGGGGGGCGAATGTGGAAGAAATCTTCGAGTTAATAAGTCCCCAGAATTACTTAAGTGTAAAAAGCATGAGTATATTAAGTTTTGCAACAATTAAAAAGAGCACATCCTGGCTGGGTTTAAGAGCAAGTCCCCCCCCCCCCCTCCCTCCAATTTGAAAGAAAAATTGAAATTCCAAAATCCCGATGTGTTTAGAATGCAAACTATTTCTGAATTTTCATAGAAATTAAAGCATTTGACTTGAACAAAGTGCTTTGTGTGGGTTGAATATTTGAATCGCCCTTCAGGGGCGTGGTTTGAATTAAGAAACAAATTGCTTTGTTTGTTGTTTTAAACAAAAGATAAAGATTGTATATATGTCAATGAGAAAATTACATAGTTATTCATAATACAAGTCCCTAGAATTCGAATTTATGACCAAATTAAATGTTATTCAGTATGATTATAACTATTTTTCGTCAATTAAATGCAAGGGTAAAATGTTTATCAAATTATTGAGTCTACTAGGGGTCACCTCACCTACCCCTCCCCCAATCCCATTGCTCCCCTCTTTATCTCTCTCTCTCTCTCTCTCCCTCTCTCACTCCCTCTCTCTCTATAGTGGAGTAGCCAACATTTGTTGTTGTTTAATCGGCTGTCCAAATTTAGAAAGGCGAGTTAAAGCATTTACATGTCACCATGCACTTTCTGCATCATATATAGACGAATCCAAGGCGACCAAAACAGTGATGCCCCGGCCCCCCCCCCCCCCCTTAAAGAAATAAAATAACCATGAATAATACAAAATTATAGGGGTAAACTAAAAAAAGGCTGTGAACCACTCCCCCCCCCCCCCCCTCCCACCTTTACCAAAACTTCAAGAGGGCTAGGGCGATTCCCACGAGAGAAAACATCTGAGATGAAAAGGGGAAATACATTCCCCGCCACGCCCACCCCTGTGGAACAATGCATTAAGCTCTTGGAATTATGCACTGGCCTGCTCTCATCTTAGAGTATAATGAACCGGTATAAGAAGTTTGGGTCTTTATTTTTCCTCAGAATTAAAAATGAACCTGTTTATATATGAGTGTCCATGCAAGCCCTCAGGCCATGCCCCAACTGGGTTGACATCTAGCCAGTATACTTTGGTTGGTAGCCTGAAAATGTGAAGCCTTTTCCTTTGCTTGTGAGAGATTTTTTTTTCTGGCTGGAATGGTCCCCAGGGGTTGGAGATTGTGCACACAGTGTGTCCGGACAAGTATACATGATTGTATGTCCTATTTGCAGGCCAAAAAAATGAAAAGGTTAAATTCCAACGGCATTTGAAAGATAATAGTAATGTAGAACTTCCCTAAAAAAGGTGGGGCTTGAAAATGTCTGCAAGTGGGAAAATAACGACTATTAGTAATGTTGTCAAATCGACTTAGGAGCTATAGAGCCTATAAGTAATAATCTTGATTTTCAGACGATTGTACCGAATGGTCATGCGTTTTATGCTGCGCAAAGATTCAATCAGTTTAATTTTGGCCATCACAAGAAGTGGGTTATTGATGTAGACAAATGCTCATGACCCTTTACATTTCATTTTATGTATGTTATTACCAAAGAAAAAAAAGCCAGTCAGTCACCCAATAGTGTCTGACAGTGAAGTCTAGCAAGTAAACGAGTTTCCTTGCATAATTTGAATATTAGGACACTTCTAACGTTTAAATTTCACAGATAGGATATACATGACATATTCATAATTCCTGCAAAGTTCTACAGAATTTGAGGTTGGCTGCAAAAGGGACATAGTACCTTTAAACAAAAATGAAATGAAAGAGGAAATGAAATGCTTTGTCCATTCTCTCTTTTTTATCTTCTTTTTTTCTCCACTCATCCATGTATGTACATTCGATTTATTTGATTTGTTTTATGTATGATGTGCAACATATTGAAGTTTCCATTATTATTATTGTTAATTTATACCTTGAACTAATTTTTGATCGTTTCCATATTGATGTATTTGTAATTTCTCTTTATTTCTTTGAACTTTGTAATATTTATTTGTATCAGTCTCCCGACTGTTTTAACATGGAATTTTTACTCAATAAACCGAAATGAATGAATGAATGAAAAATGGCATAGTTCGATTCCAACTCCCTGGTTATTCATACAATTCCCTAGTATACGAATTTCAAATTAAATAATATTCAGTGTTGAGGAAAGAGAGGGGAAATCAATCTTTCGATTTTTTTTTTAGTTTTCGTCAGTTAAATGCTGGGGTAAAATGTTTATCAAATTATTGAGTCGATGTGTCAATTTAACCCCCCCCCCCCCCATTCCTCTTCTCTCCCTGTTTCTCTCTCTCTCTCTCTCTCTCTCTCACTCTCTCTCTCTCTCTCTCTCTCTCTCTCTCTCTCTCTAGCTATATACGCATAGTTGTGCAATTGCTTTTTATAAGGATAGAGCTTCCACTGACAACACACCTCTCATTTTTGGCCCCCAAAACATCGAGTTGTGATCAGTAGCGTAATGAACAAAAACGTATGCAGTTTGGGGGCCGGGGCAGAAAAAAATATCCACATCACTACCAGGTGGTATAATATGCAAAAGTGAGGGGAAAACCAGACAAATCATGTCATTTCAGCA